GAAACCCAAGGAAAAGCCCTGAACGTGTTCCTGCACCTTACTGACCCCTGACAGCTTGAAACAGAGAAGAAGAGTCTTATTCCTAATTCATAACACTTTTCATCAAAGGGCTACTGTTGAGCTTCCACTGGAACCAGCTTAGATTTGCCCCAAGTGCAGCCATATTTAAGTGTAAATTTGATTGCTTTTTTCCCCACTGATTTAAATGTAACTTGTCTGCACTTTTACTTACTTCATTTTATTTTATATTTGTATTATCTATTTTAATTTATGCTTTCTCCCTTACTTTTTTTTTCTCATCTCTTGTCACTATTTTAGTCGAATGGTTTTAATTATTCTATAAATTTAGGTGGACTTCATCCAACCTGTCTGCAGTGTTTTTGATTAATTGAATTTATTAAAATACTTTTAATTATATGTCTAATTTAATAGAATTTTATTTCTATATATATATTTTATGTTTGCCTGTAGAGCACTTTGAATAACTTCTGAGCATGATGAGATGCTTTATAAAAACTTTCTTGCTTGCTTATGCATCAGTCGAACTCTGAGGTATCAGTAGGCTCATATTTTTACAGGCTTATCCCTGTGAAGTTTCAAAAATATATTTTTAATATGGAAAAGCTCGTAAAATTGCCTTGCATTCCCAGGGACGCAGTGTCTTGACTGGGGCTCTGAGGCATTCTAATTGCTCTGGGTCCACCCCCTGAACTGCAGATCCGTCTTTACAGCTTGCATTAGCATACATAATACTGCTCTGTGGACTCAAAGAGTCATGCCAATTGAAAAGCAATCATTTTCACAGCAGAGCACTGCCATCGCCACTTTAATTGAGTGCCAGAGTACTTGCATGTGTATGTGCATGGCTTTGTATCATGAGACAGGAGATAATTGGCTGTGCAATACAACATAGCAATATGGTGTTAATTCAATGATTTGAGCTGATTGCTTTTGTCTAGTTGTATCCCATGGGCTGGCACATGTGTTTGTGCTGTTTGACAGAAAACAGAAGGTGCAGACGATAACTGCTGCGCACATCTTTTCAGAATGTCGTCGCTGTATCTATTATGAGATTTTTCCACACACACACACATACCGCACACAGACGAGTATGCGCCACAAAAATTAGTTGAGCCGCATGCTACAAACACAGGCCTTGAGGGTCCATAAAATCTGCTACAATAAAGAGCAGAACTGCGCTTCATATGAATGCCCCACTGTTTGGTGACAATCAAACTCAATTATCTTATCTTGTGTGGATTGCTTTTGTCAAATTACTAAGTGAAGAAACAGACGCGACTGCCTTGTAGATTCCAAGCATGCCGTGTCTGCTCTTTACGATTATGTGCGCCGACTATTTCTGTCCCTGAGTGCTGTTTTAGTTGCAATATGTACGGGAACAGGACAACAATTCATTGAAAGCTAACTCAGAGGTGGATATTGTAATATTACTGAGGGTTTTTTCTGGCTATAAGGCCTTTAACCTTTGCAGAAAATCAACGCTAACCTTTGACCTGATCAGAATTTTAACCTTCAACCCAACAAAACGTATTCACACATGCACCACCGATGGTCCAACACTGTCTCCTTTTGGCACAAATGGGCAGAATAGCTCGAATTTCTATGACCAATTAACATAACAGAACGGTAATTTCCATACAAAGTGGACAAAAGCAAAGAGCTCCCTAATGAAGATCTGTGTTATTATGCTTGCCGGCTAATTTCTCTCAACGTGAAGAAAAAGCCTGCAGGGACAAAATGATGGAATCATGAGAATGTGTATTAATGACGGTGGCTGCTAATTAGCCAAACAGAGAAAGGGGACATTAATCTTAAAGGCTAGTTGTAGACTATTCAAGTCAAGAGCGAACTTGGCACTGCCTGTCAAACATAATGACTAAATGCTACGCTGTGGGTTAGAGGGGGCACTCGGGGTGCAGAGAGGTTAATCTGTGGATACACTCAACAAAGACTTACTGTAATCTTTATTTTATCCCTCTAGCTCCTCAGAAGGTGCAGCCTATTTTCACTTATTGACCTTGTGGTACAGTATTTTTTACATTTTCTACACTGTGATTAGAAAATTTCCATCTAATTCTTAATTTATCTGGTATTTACTCCATCATCATCACCACTGATGGGTACATTACCTTCTTCAAACTGTCAGTTAAAATGAAGATGTTAAGTTTTTTACTGCACAGAATCCGTTTACAATGACTTTCTTGTACTTTCAGGCATGAATGCAACAGAAATATGTCCTGTAGAGCCACAAGTATTTAGATCAGGGGTCTCCAATCCTGGTCCTCAAGAGCCACAGTCCTGCATGTTTTAGATGTTTCCCTCTTCCGGCACACTTGATTCAAATGATCAGCTCATCATCAAGCTCTGCAGAAGCCTGAGAACAATCCTGATCATTTGAATCAGGTGGGTTGGAAGAGGGAAACATCTAAAACATGCAGGACTGTGGCTCTCGTGGACCAGGATTGGACACCCCTGATCTCGACCTTTGTTTTGCTGTAAAATATATATGAAAAATATTTTAACAATCAGGACTACCTGTAGAAAATATATGTCTTGTATGTGAGAGAGGGATATTAGACTGATTTTCTGACAACCTACTTGACTAGTTTGACTTGGTTAACTGGTGGTGAAGCTGGTAGAACAATGACAAGGCAGCAAAAGGAACAAGCTGATGAAACACTGACACCTGCTGGCTCGTTGATGTAACTACACCGCAGCTGAAAGGAGAAGACAGTCATTCATCAAAATAGTCAGCCTAAGGACATCCTGGACTGAAATTAGATGAAATTTTCTCATTTGTAAACCAAACATCATCGCAAAATTAAAGTATGCCAAAGTGGGTGTTTGGAGCAGTAAAGGGGAAATTAATTAAAATTCTTCTAATTCAAAGGGCTTTGCTGGCATGACAACAAGGGAGGCTTTCACCAAAGAGCTGTTTGAATATGGATATGTACCCTACAGTATATTCAGAGCATTGGTAAACAACATAACATATAAGAAAATGGAAAAGGAGAGTTTGAATATAACAGTTTCTGCTTTATTGCTTGCATTAGCCTGTTACTGCTGAACGGCACACATTCAGTCAACACACACAACAGTTTCCTTTCATGCCATGTCTTCTTTCAGATAAAAGTAGAGAAAAAACATCCAAAGTACACATTTAGGTGTACATTTTTCAACACTTACATCTGTAGCTTTCAGTACATATCTTTCAAGGTCCTTAAAATGTGTTTTTTCCTCATACTGTGAGTCAGAAATCTCCCCGTCAGTGACACGTACACACACCAAGCATTCTTCCTATCCACACTGTAAATAAACACATAATGCAGAGTGGGATTTTTAAAACTTTTTTTTTAACTTTAGGGAGGAAGTCATTGTTGCTCCGACACGCAGCATCTCTTCAACACAGTGAACATCATGAAACAACCAAGGTTGCACTCTATTGGAAAGGGAAATCTGCAAATCCAGACTGGAGTCACAGACCTGAAATCACAAGCTAGCGTGTCCACGTTTTACACAGGAGACTGCCACACATCCACGACACATACAACTAATGAGGTTATCGATGCTGAGGAACTTGGTGAACTTAGCATTTTCGGGGACAGGGTCATAGTGGACACACCCATCAGCAGAATCATATATGTCTTACCATGCTGTCTAAAATGATTCCTTCGACTACAAATGGTGGAATTGTGGACATTCAAGGGCCCTAACTGACATGTCAGCATCCAATATGCCAAGACCCAGTTCTCATCTGTCTTTTGTCATCTGTGGCATCGTGTCATTTGAATAAAGCTGTTTTATAAAGTGGCCTTTTACAGTCACAGGTTAAAGGAGGGTCTGTGTGTGCTGGTCATGTTATCTAATAATTAGTCTGGATTAATTAACTGGTCAAAAACTTGTCACCAGTTGAACAGCTCCATACAGTTTTGGTGCACAACTGAATCTTAATGTATATATTTTCTGTCCAGAAGAATAGAAATAAGATTATTAACTTTTCCACTAAATTAGAAAAGAAGACCATTTGCATGCTGTTTATCATTTCGTTTACCATATATTTTGGATTTTTTTTTTTTTTATAAACAGAGGGATTTGTTCATTTATCAATTATATCCTTATTGATGCAATATTTAATTCCTAAAACTATGCAGATTTATCCGATCTTCATGTTTCTGTGCTTAAAATTAATGCAAAATGGGGCCTTTTTGATTTAGAAAAACAAAAAAAAACAAAAAACACTTTGTGTATTTAAACACAATTTCAGAAAACTTTTATTACCGAAAAAAGTCTCTATCTTAGGCTAACTGGGGAAGTTTGGTGGACAAAACTTTTTCTTTTTTTTTCCCCAACAAAATGGAGCCAAATTACCTGCATCCTCCTTTGTCCTTCCGCTTTTCTTCTGGGTACTTTTCGTTGTGTATTGAGCTTTAACCATGTTAACGAGCAGCAATAATTTTCACACAACAGAATAAATACGGAATCAACTAGTGGGCGCTGTTTTCCATCACTAAAGCATCACATGTTCATTTATCCGCCAAGTTTGGATCGTGTTTTGCTTCTAGTCAACGACCACGGCTGGTTGAAGCTACGTGAAGGCAGCGCATGTAAACACAGTGATACCGGAAATGTAACCATACCATTTAAAAAAATAAAAGCGCTCCATATTAAGGTTACGGTAAGAAAGTCGTCCAAACATACAAAAATAATGAAAAAAAGGAAACACGATTAGACTGTAATTAAAAAAGACACCGCTTTTAACAATAAAACAAACAGAATAATCGCTGTGTTGCTCCTTCTCACAACCGTAACACTAAAGGGGCGTTTTATTTTAAATCCTCAACCGGAAGTTTGTTTTATTTTCTGTGAACATTGACACTACCGGTAGCTGAAAGCGCAGAAACGAACGAGAAATATTAGTCACAGTTATTGTGGATATGAACTGACAGTTTAAGGACACCGACGTGAGGGACACAGTGGACATGCTGAAGCAGAAACACCTGGAGAGGAGGAAAAAGGTTTGAGTTCAACGACAGCATAAAGTATCACATTCAGTTTGAGTAGCAAAGCGTCCTCGTAACTAAGTAATGCTAACAAACCTGTCCGTTGTCGCTGTGACTGATATTGATAAAGTTATGCTAAGCTAGCTTATCTTCGTTGCTAATGCTGGTTGAAATCACTTTGTTGTTGTTGTCGTGAATGCTTTGTCTAGTCAACAGTGACAAATAATTACTGACAACTGACTGTCGAGAGGAAGTAATATCACTGTGCTGTGTCTTTTAGTTGCCACCATCAGAAGACAGGAGCTCAGGAACCAGAGATGGTGAGTGTTTTATACCTCACACAGGGTCTATGAGCAGCTAGATACCCAAAGGCTCTCGGCTGGGTTCTAGCAAGTCCACAAGATTATGCACACTTATTTATATCTGCTAATAATTCACTCTGGAGCGTGTCATTGGTCATACATCCTGTATCCTCACCTGCTGTACAGCCCTGCATTAGTCAGAGTTACCACACTAATGATTTTATCATTTAAAAATGATTCAAGCAAAAAGCAACTTTTTTAACACAGTGCTATATACAGTCATGTGCTGTATAAAGATTGGACTCCTTGTTTCATGAAGTGTAAAGAAGTGAATACACCCCCTGCATACTAAATGTACGTACAACCTTTTCTTCAGATGTAATCCTCTGTCACTTGTTATTTAATGAACTTATAAAAGAAATGCATTTGTGCCAGTCTGGACACTTTGCTGCTTTTAAAACCCTCGGCCAATCAAAGTACTTTACTTAAAATAATTTTTCCACCTAAAGTTTAAACTCTACTCGCACTTGCTGATGCAAAGAAGAAGATTCACATCATTGTCTCACATCATTGTCTCACTGCAGTGCTGTGCAGAGTTGCATCTCGTCTATAAAAGATGCTATAGAAATGAAGTAAAATCTGATTTTAACTGATAATTATTAACATGAATACAGTCTTAAAATGGGCTGCAAGGTGGCTCAGTGGTTAGCATCGTTGCCTCGCAGCTAGAAGCTGGTTCGCATCCCGGTGAGGACACCCGGGATCTTTCTGCGTAGAGTTTGCATGTTCTCCCCGTGCAGCGTGGGTTCTCTCCGGGTTCTCCGGCTTCCTCAACATGTTGAGTTTAATTGGTGATTCTAAATTGTCTGTCTCTAAGTGTAGCGACCTGTCCAAGTGAACCTGCCTTCACCCTGAGTCAGCTGGGATAGACTCCACCCCCCCATGACCCTTGTGAGGACTAAGTGGTGTATAGATAATGGATGGATGGATGGAAGTCTTAACATTACTTTGTTTACTTTTTTAGAAGCAGTACAAAGGCGCGTTTTGGCCCACAGGTCCAAACAGCCAAGCAAAGAGTTGAAATGCTACAGCGAAGCCTTACGTGAGCTTTTCACAGCAGTTACCAACCATCCTGGCCCGTAAGTGACCACAAAGACCGAGTACTGTTTTGCATGTTTGCTTTGAGTGTTATACATGTTGTTGTCTTTGTCAGGTTCAGCACCGATCGCAGTCTGAATGACAGTGACAAAGACCTGAGTGCAGATTCTACAGCGGTCCCGCTTCAGGACTCCCAGGTGCTGTTTACAGAAACAGGTGTGTGTGAAAAGCACATTTAGCGGTGTTTCTGGTTTAACAAGCGGCCACCTTACCTCAGAAGTTGAAATCATTATAGAGTTTGTACATGCTGAGGAAAAATATTCATTTAAGATAAGCATTTCCCCCCCGATACCTTAGTAAGATCCTAATTAACTGCACTAGGGCTTTAATTTTCTTCCATTTATCCAGATGTGACCTTGCCCTCCTGTCTGCACGGCAGTCCCGGGTCCCAGGAAACGGAGCGAGACAGAGAGTTGCCTTGGACTCCCCACTTCCCTGCTTCATGTGACTCCTCTTCCTTAGTACTAGCAAAGGTTTACCAAGAGATGATGACAATCTACAAACAGCTAAAGGTGAGAGAGGAAGAGTAGTTGACAGAAAAAGTGAAATCAGAGAATATTTAAAGAGGTTTACCTACCTACAGAGCTGTACGTATTCGGGGTGCTTTTGTCTTTGTGATTAGTAGTTTTAAGTTTTAGAATCAGAGGTTGGTTTGGGTTTGATATAGATTCTAAATAGTTCACTTTTGTCTTTGTGTGTATTTCAGGCAGAGCGACAAAGTCAGCAGCAGTGGGAGAAGGAGTTGCTTGAGCGACAAAGGAGGCTGAAGCAGGAGGAAGAGGCTTTTGGGAGGCTGGCTGGGCTGGAGGAGACGGTCCACGCTCAGATTCAGGCTACAGAGGAGGTCAGACACACATGCACCATCCATCATGTTTAGCGCAAGGAATGTCTGATCATGTTTTTCACCATGTCTTGGTCACCCTCTTTCCACACGTCTACTAAAAATTCTATGTGCCAATGTTCAGGTTTTTCATCTTTGAACCTTTCATTGTTAGCCTGTGATGCAATCCAAATCAAATATTGAGACTATCTGAGTGGGTCCAACAAGACTAATGTGATTTTATTCATGCACACAGAACCGTCTGACCTTGCGTTGAAGAATGACACAGACGGTGTAATATAGGATTAAATGGAAAACTCAATTCAGCACAATGTAATACTGAAGAATACTGATGTTGAAGAGTTGTTGGTGTGACTACATTTTTCTTTATGCACGAATGTATAACCGTGTCTCACTAGAAACACCAGCAGGAACTGAGCCAGCTGCAGGAGCTTCTTCGAGAAAGGAGCAAAGAGAACAAGAGGCTCAAATCCAGCTTCGACACCATCAAGCAGCTGAATGACAACATGAAGAAACAGGTTAGAAGTGTTTAAAGATGGTGCTTGTGTCAGCTGACACTTGGTAAATGTTTATTATATTAACTATTAATATTTATGAGTGTCTAAACTCACAGGTGTTATGATATCGGTTCCGTTTGTGAAGTGTTTGTTTATAATGAGCTTTGGATGTAATATCCAAAATGAAGACTATGGCAGCTTATTCTGATATGCATCTGCACTGTACCAAGAACAAGCTGATGCTTGACTGGAATTTTCTTTTTCCAAAACATAGAAAGTGACTGAAGAAATTTTCACTATGTCATGGGTGGAGTCATGCAGGGACGTACTACGCAGTTAGTGTCTTGGTCCACATGGGGGCACTACAACATAATTATCTTGTATTTCGAAGCTGAAAAATACCACAATGAGTTAGAATCACTTACTCTACACTTGCTTCGATGGTTAAAGTGTTTTTTTGGGGGGAAACTTCAGGAAAGTGATCATGTTTTGTGGCTTCAAAAGTGGAACCAAGAGGCCGGTTTATATATACATATGTATGGACGTAAAAAATAGATTTTATGTCCAGTTGGTTTTCATAGCAGATTAGCGTTTACTATTTTTGTTTTTCCTAAATCAACAGGTGATTGAGATCAGTGAACAGAATAAGAAGCTGGAGAGCCAGTCAAAGAGGGTGCAGGCTCGACTTGAGAACCTACAGGTACAAACACAAGTTTCCAAGCACATCTAGTTTTCGATATAATTAAAATAAAGTACGTTTGAAGTGAGCTTTTCCCATCCCATTATGGTCTCAGTGCTGTCTGAGGTCGTCTCACTGCAACAACTATTTAATGTGGTTGTTTTTTTGTTGCATCAAAGTTGTTCGTTTTTAATATCTGTTATCTTTGATGAATAGAAAAGCAGATATTTACCTTTTCGTATTTTGTTATTTTATCTAGAGGAAGTTCGAGCAAAGCGTCGCGTCGAGAGGCCATCAGAAAGAAAGCGCAAAGAGTACAGAATGTATTAAACCACACAAAAAGGAGAAAACTGCTGCTGCTGCTGGAAAACCCAGTGAGAAGGTACATCAACAACTCTGTGTGTCTTTACCAGGATTTGTACATTTGCTGTAATTACGACTGCGTTACTTAATTTATTGTTAATGTGTTTACTGGAGAAAAAAAAAGCATGTAATTTAGCATGGTTAGATAAACACTAACATTCTGATTTACACATATCCAGACTGGAAGCAGCACAACCGTCCTTCTCCACAAACCACACTCGTTCTGCCAACTGACATGATAAATCATAGTTTGTGATTTTGTGAAGTTATCATCACACTTGTTGATGAAGATGAATGTGCTGTGCTGGATGCAGCTGCACTTGTCTTGTCAAGGAATTTTCTTTCTCTATTTAGAGAAGGTTGAGTCAAACTTTTTTTATTTTTTTTTTTACTGCTCTTTTGACTGTTAAATCATTTTAAGACGCCCTAAATCACAGTCTTGATGTTTATATACCTTTTCCCAAAATATATCTCCACAGGTACAGCTCTGAATGCCATTGGTGTGACTTCATGTGTGCTTGTTCAATAACTCAGATCACAATGTGAACTTGACCATTGGTAGAAGTCCAACAAACAAACAGCTTTAACTACAGTCACCATTTTTTTTTCTTTTTACAAAGTCAGTTGCAGGTTACTACTTGCACAACATGACCGAACCCTTAGGTTTTTTTTTGTTTTTGTTTTACCCTTCTCCCTTCAGGGCAGCTCAAGTCCCACACCGCCAAAGCTCCTGGCCCTTCTACTGGACTGGGTACTTGATGGACAGATGTTCTCATCAGTAGCAGGAAAGGAACCGAACGGCGTCGACCAGCGCCTGCCTCGGGAGGTTGTGCTCAGTGAGAGATGTCTCAAGGTGACATGTTCAGCGTAGCATCACGCTGATGTTTGGATTTCATTACGGCTGCATTCCAACACACAGTTTGGTGTCACAACCACAAAAGAGCAACAGACGATGAGACATTAACAACATTTGACGGGAATTGTAGTCACAGATTATCTTTGTTTCCGTAGGTGCTGCCATTGTTAGCAGATCAGCTTCATCACGCTCCTTTGTCAGAACCCAACCTTCTGCGCAACCTTCTCCGCCTCATTCACTGGGCTGTGAGACACTTGGATGACAGCAAACAGGTAAAAACTACATCGGTTTTGTTGAAGTAAGTAGTTTTAGATGTATTTACTGAATAACATCGATGGAAGTGGAGAATGTGGGGTGTTAGCGATTCTGTCACCAGAAGCAATAGTTGAAGTTGTGGCTAATCCAACAGCAATATGTTTGACGTTTAAGAAATGTCCTCGTTAGTCAAGCTTTTGTTGAAAGAAATCGCTAAAACAAAATGGTTGCTCCGTCACTATTCTGTTTGTTGGTCTCTTTTAGTGACTAGTTAAACCACATCACCTGAGCTTCATAATCAAAATAACTACTACGTTTTTTTTCTTCAACTGATCTTATTGTTATTGATAACATTTTTTTGTATCGATATTGAGACCAAACCCATTTTTATAATTTATGAGGTATGCTCTTGTTTGAAAGCTTCAGATCTCCCACATGGCTGCCAGAAGGAGCGTAAATCAAACAGAAAGCCAGTTTGTTAGTAAAAAAAAAAAAGAGTTTTGGATAAGTAAGCTTTTCAGCAGCATCCATCCGCTTTGTTAACAATATATAGTTGTCTATAACAAGATGCAGGCGGCCTGCACCTTCCCTCATTATTCATGTGTGACCTTACAAGAGCAAGAGGAGCAGAGGAGTGTTATTCTACAAACAGAAAGTTCCCTTTTACAACAACATGCCGCAGAATACTAACACGGCACAGTTTTCTTTTAACACATATCTACACTTCACAAGTACACATTCACTTGAAGTGGGGGATATCCACTTTATTGCCACATCTCCCGGCACAACATGGCAGCCTTTAATGTTTGGAGGTCCTGTCGAGTTCAATCTTGTGTTCAAATGAGAAGCTTGGTTTTCAAAAGGCCCCCGCCTGTCTCTGTGTGCTGAACAACATCTCGACTTTGATAAGGATGTGTGTCCTTCTCACTTATTTGGCCACATAGCCACGAGCCCCTCGAGAGTCCTCCGTAACAACCTCTGTGCTGGTTGAAGACGTGACAGATGAAACATTTTTTAGCTGTTTCCCACTTCATAGGCAAAGACTGCCCTCTTCATACCATGATGAAGACCTAATACCAGCTTCCACTCCTTGAGCCTGACCTCCTGCTCATTGTTAAACCTTCCCAGCCATTGGCTAAGTTTTAGCCTTCACCCATTGCCCCAGGCCTCTTTTTTCATATCCACTGCCTCCATCTCCCATGCTTCAGTCCTCTTCCTCAGGCCCGCTGAAGGGAGCCTGGCCCCTTCATGTTTGTTTGTCAGGTTATGTCATATCTGCTCAGTGAAATGCTTGATGTTCAACTGGAATCACATGCTCCCTTATTGCTGCAATATGTGTTCATGTTTAAGATGAAAACCAACCAGCACTGGACCACAGTGCATAAATGGAGGAAGGGAGATGACCTACAGTGAAGGATCGTTAGTGAACCGCTGGAGACTTTGGGGAATTGGAGTGGTAGATGAAAAGTGGAATCTAGTGAGTCTAAAAACCACCAGCTCTCCATTGGTTTGGGAATGCATAAATCTTGGATAGTAGCTGTAGTTTACTGCACTGATTTATTGGCTCCATCAGTTATTTGGAGAAGTCATAGAAGAAGCCTTCTGGCTTCCTGTCAGGCTGACCTCATGTTTTATACACTGATGTTTGACGAAGATCATTGTCGGCATATCATTCCTATTTCTGACAGTTATATAACAATAGTAACTGAGTACAGGTGCAGCTAATGACTTTTTGCTTTGACCAGTGCATCAAAGTTTTTGTTTCTGTGTGTTTTGTACAGCATGTACCGTTGTCTGCCACTCTGCGGCGGATAGGGGAGGAGGTGTCGAAGCCCGCAGCCCAGTCAACAGCACCGAGGTCCGTAGATCCAGACCTGCCCGAGTCCTGCGCTGACACACCTGGACCCTTCAGGAGTTGGCCCCTTTACCAGAGCCCTTGTCCTCACACACGTGTTCTTTCCACCCTCATCATCCTACGCACCATCACACAAGGTATTATTGACAACACATGTACAGACTGTATCTTTGACATTATATTTGATAAATGTAAATAAATAAAGTAGATCCATGGATAGTAGGGTCGGTGGTATCGTAGTATTAAGATGGTATTTAGAATCTCAAAAGTCTGATCTTCACTGTCACCGAGATAAGCTCTGTTTGTGATAATCGGACACAGAAAGACTCCGTGAATGCATTGCCGTGCACAAACCACGCCACTAGAGGCCAGTCATGAATTAGGCAACAGGCAGAACAGACTGGGAGACGAGCAGATAGGATTGCAGCCAGTAGGGGGTAACGCCACTGGTTTAAAAAAAAAAAAAAAAAAGACTTCTGATTGTATTTAAGTCTACGATCCTACTTCTCACTTGATTTATTACCTCAGTAAATCCTTTCCTAAAGGGTTTATGGTCTCAGTTGCAAGTTTCAAGTCTTCTTCTATGTAGCGTGCTGTTTGTTTTGTGAATTTTGGTCCCAGTTAGAGTTAAATAGACGATAAAGACGGGTTACAGTTGAGAGCGTGTCTGTCACTACCATATAGGCATACATAGTGTTCATAGGTTCTCAGTCACATCCACCCCTAACTTATCACTTCTGGCTCCAGAAATCCAAAATGGCAGCGACCGAAATGCCAAACTCAGTGCTGCTAATCAGTAGTTCATGAGCCAGTGGTTGGTGTGAGAGTGACTCTTTTATGCAGTCCATGGTAGAGACACGCCACTCCCTTTAGCCATGAATGCCAAGCTGGAAACTGTCCTTTTTTTGGATGACTAGCCAATTACTGTTAGCTAATACGTGTTATTTCAGTACTGTTAAGTCCTTTTACAGGAACTGTTGCATCATGGGTTGTGGGCTACCATGTTGGTGGTCTTTTTATGGAGCCGTACAAGAGAAGTGTTCTGTTAGTTGTTGATTTAGTTCTTGTCTATTGAAAGCAGATGACCTACGCTAATGTTAAACTGTTATCTTACTTATATTCTCATCCATTCATTTATTACACCTCCTATTTATTTTCTAACATGGGACCTAAGGCCTAACTACGATAATGTTTACTGGGCTCCAGGACAGGCCAGCTATTGATGACCAACATATGTGGTCAAAAAAACAAACTACAGGTGTAACAGACAGAACAAGATAGTCAAGAAAGACACACCTCAAACTGTCAGTGTTTTTTTTTTTTTTTTACCTCTCAGCAAAACAGTCAAACACATAATCTTTAAATGTCATCCTGTCTCTACTCTAAACGCTAACACCCTACTACAATCAAAAGAAGCTGCATCGAAAATCTAAACTTTTCTGTGACGTATTAAAGAAATAGCAGCGCCAAGATGGGCCTTCAGTCAAAAACACTGCAGCAGCCTGTGGTTCTGACAGATTCGGTAAAAGTCTACACACTGATAAAACACAGCCAACAAACATTAAACCAAGCAAGAGGGAAGTGTGAAGTGAGAAAATTTCTCCAATTTTTTGTCAGATCTAATTCACCAGCTACACAAATTCCTACAATGACTCCACAAAGAACAGGGTCTGCTCAAGATGACGGAAAACTGTAAATATTAAACTTCACCTAAAGATACCTCACTATAGAATAACCGTCAACTACACAGGTGTCCTACCTGCAGGTGACTCTTTACCTGCTGGTGCATGAGTGTAGGGGCTTCACATAGAGGGGCTGTAGGTTGCTGATATGTGACTGAACAGAAAATATGAATCATCAGATATTTCATGTTATTATTTTAAATACATTCAGTGTTATAATGTGCAGGCCCCATTTAATTACTGTCACAAATGGTGAAATATTAAAACAAATGGATTTAATAAGGGATCTATCTCTCTATACACCGCTTCATCTTCACTAGGGTCAAGGGGGGCTGGAGTCTATCCCAGCTAACTCAGGGTGAAGGCAGGTTCACCTGGACAGGTAACCAGTCTATCACAGGGCTACACTTAGAGACAGACAACCAAGCACACTCACATTCACACCTACGGACAATTTAGAATCACCAATTAACCTCAGCATGTTTTTGGGGAGGAAGCCGGAGAACCCGGAGAGAACCCACGCTGCACAGGGAGAACATGGAGACTCCACGCAGAAAGATCCTGGGGGTCCTCACCAGGACGCGAACCGGCAGCCTTCTTGCTGTGAGGCGACGGTGCTAACCACCGGTCACCTTGCAGCCCTTAATAAGAGATGAATATTTTGCTTTCAGTTGCATTCAAAATCAAGCTTTCCTTGCGTCTGCACTACAACAATATACTGTATTTGTTAGTAGTTAAGGACTTAAAACACAAAACACAAGACTTGGATTTAACTGCAGACTTGCTGATCTTGATGCAGGACTTGACTAATCCCTTAAAATCCAGATAGACTTATGTGTGACTTGAAAAATATTGAGTTTGTCCCACCTGTGGTAGTTGGAGTACTGAGGAGAGACAACTAAAACTGAACTACGTTGTATTTCACTGACCTTTGTGTGTACTTTGGCTATGTGTGGTTTGGGATGCATTAGTCAGCTCAGCTTCACAGAACTTATACATGTTTCTGTGTGGTTCAAAGGTTGGGCGGTACAGCCGTTTGATCTTAACTAAAATGTCCACTGATTGATGTGTTGCTATTAAATATGAACAATCATGTAGGTTCCTGAACAAATCCTAAGTAAGACTGCAAACATGGTAGTGATTTCTTGCTAAACATCAGGACGCTGGCAATAAAATTATCTTGATATAGCAGCCACTATTATACCATCTAACTCATAACTGGGTTTTCTTTACAATAAAGCTTATAGCCAAAAAAACCTGCCAGCATGCCTTTAGGTTCTTAAGTTTGCTCTGATGCACATATTTGAAAAGGGCAAGAAGATCCTTGTCCTCCCACACTATAAATCCTAGTGCACTCATTGGGTTCAGCCTACATATCCTGACATATTTTATGAACCTCTCTTCTAAAATGACCTTCCATCTGCTTGTAATGCTCCAGGGCTCCCTTGGTATGTCTATATAGACTATTTTCTGTCAATCTGCTTACCAGCTTTGCTTTCTTCCTTTCTTCAGATTGACATGAAACCAAATTGAGTATAATGGAGAGATGTTTCTTCCCCCAAGTTTTTTTTTTTTTTAAACACATAACGGGCACCATTCTGAGGTGCAGCTCACCAAACTCAGTCCAAAAACTAAAAAAAGCTTTTATCACATCAGATAGAAATCCAGCCCTTTTGGGCATTTGAAAATATGTTACTTGAAAAGAAGACTGCAGAGAAATGACAGGAGTTATGACCAAAGCGGAGTGGAGGCGAGTGTGATGGAGGAACAAGATGGGAGAGGGTATGTGGATGAGTACTATCCTGTAGCTTAACAGGTAATACGCGACTAAAAATGTGTACAGTCATGGTTATCAGTAGTGACAAAGGGTTTTGTGCATTTTGCTTCCACAATGAATTTGAAGTGAATCAATCAAGATGTGACCGAAGCTTTATTTAAAAAAAAAAAAAAAAAAAGCTTAAAAATCTTGAATTAAACATTCAGGTATTACAGACAGTTTTTCTCCCTTTTCACAGGCTCAAAAATAATCAGACAAACTAGCATAATTAGAAATACAAGGATTATTTTTATTACTTGCATTGAACTGTTTGAAGTCGATGGCCTGAAGTCTGGAACCCATGGACGTCACCAAATGCTGAGCTTCCTTCCTTCAGATGTTGTGCCAGTCCTTTAGTGCAGCCGCCTTCAGTTGCTGCTTGTTTGTGGTTCTTTCTGCCTTCGGTTTTGTCTTCGGTTTGTGAAAAGCAGCTTAACTGGGTTGAAAACAGGTGAATGCAATTTAGTAACGTTCCATTTTCTTTGCTTTAAGAAGCTCTTGGGTCGTCTTTGCAGCATGCTTTGGGTCATTGTCCAGCTGTACAGTGAAGCCCAGTTTTATAGCATTTGCATGATAGTTCTATACGTGGCAGGATTCATTCTGCTGCTTTTGTCAGCGGTCACATTATCAATAGACACCAGTGACCGAGTTCCAGTCGCAGCCATACGTGCTCATGCCATGACACTGTCTCCACTGTGCTGACGGATGATGTGATATGCTTTGGATCACGATCCCTTAATTCCTTCTCCATGCTCTTCTCTTTCCATCATTCCTGTACAAGTTCGTCTTAGTTTCATCCATCTGAAGACTGCTGCAGAACTCATCAGACTTTTTTAGATGTTTTCTATCTAAGTCCAGACTGGCCTTTCTGTTGTTGAGTCTCACCAGTGATGTGCATCTTTAGGAAAAGCCTGTTTACGTTAACGAAGGTGTCTCTTGATTGTAGACTTTAAAAAGGAAACGCCTACCTCCTCGAGTGTGCTCTTGACTTGGCAAAAGGATTTTTTTTTTCCACAAAGGACAGAATTCTGTCTTTATCCACTTTGGTTATCTTCTGTGGGTTTCCAGGTCTTCTGGTGTTACAGAGTTCACTATTGAATTCCTTCTTTTTAAGAATGTGCCATACTTTTGATTTGGCCTCTCCTAAAGTTCCTGCTTTCTCTCCGATAGGTCTGTTTTGGTTTTTTTTGGCCTCGTGATGGACTTCTTTCGCTTGCATCGACACCTCTTTGGATCACATATTGTCGTGGATTGTTGATGAACAGCCACAGAAAGCAGGGGCAAAATTACACAATCACTGTCCAGATATTTATGGACCTGATTGTACCTGCAGTACAAAGATGACACTTGCCTCTACAATTGCTTCTAATATAAAATGACATAATTTACTGCTTAGTCCTATCCTTATTTATGGCTTGGCTAAAAAACACTAAAGGCTAAAATGTTCATGTCAGACTGAAATGACGCACACACGCATTTCAAAACAAGCTCAAGTGTTTTTGATTGTGTGTGTGTGTGTCTCTCTCCTGTTTGCAGTGGATGTGCTGGCCCAAGCGCTGGAGAATCTCCGGACTGAACTGATGTGTGAAGACAGTCGAGGCCTGTTCATCCACTACGGAGGCCTGCATGTGCTGCTGACAACGCTCCGGGCCGGTCGCACAGGGCTCGACACACCGATAGACGTCCTGATGCGGCTCTGCGAGCAGTCCCGTAAGTACGCATGTTTTTTAATAAACACATTCAGATGCCTATTAGGGTTTTTTTTTTCCCAGAAAGAGTTGTGGTAATGGTTTTTCCACTGCACCCCACAGCAATGTAAGGTTTACAGTAAGTTGTTTACAGTAAGAGCCTGTGGCTGTCTCTGTTTGTACTATTCCTCCCTGCAATATTAGAGCTGATCTTCTGACCAAATAGCACGGAATGTGACTGAAGAATGGCACCACTAATGAAGTGCAGCTAGCTTGGTGACTTAAACATTGCATTCTCTATATCCTCATGATAAAAGCATCCCACAGGTTTGCCTGCAGGACCACAGCAGCATGACTGTAGTGGAAATTATGCAAATTATAGCTTGGCTAAAGCCAGCAAACCTGGGACCTCCAAATTCCACACAAGTCTTTACAAAAGGGAGCTGTGTAATTCATCCATCCATTATCTATACACCGCTTAATCCTCACCAGGGTCGTGGGGGGGCTGGAGTCTATCCCAGCTGACTTAGGGTGAAGGCAGGTTCACCTGGACAGGTAACCAGTCTATCACAGGGCTACACTTAGAGACAGACAACCAAGCACACTCACATTCACACCTACGAACAATTTACAATCACCAATTAACCTCAACATGTTTCTGGACTGTGGGAGGAAGCCGGAGAACCCGGAGAGAACCCACGCTGCACGGGGAGAAAAGAAACGCAGAAAGATCCCGGGTGTCCTCACTGGGACACAAACCGGCAACCTTCTTGCTGCGAGGCAACAGTGCTACCAACTGCGTCACCTTGCAGCCCCAGCTGTGTAATATATAAACTAAATATTCAACTTCAGTTGAAAGGACAAAGTCACTAAGTCAATATGTCGGATGCTTTTAGGATAATACTGACACCCTGTCTCTCAGTTTGCTTTCATCAGTTTGTGTCTTAGAAACTAGTTCTTTCCAACCAAAAAATGCAAAATGTCAAAAAACATATATCTTGGTCTAAAGATAGAAATGTTTCTCCTGTAATTGAAGTTTGTATGAGGCTCTAAACAAATATATGTTAATTCTGGTAAATGTACATGCATCTATTAGAAACCAAATTTTTAGTGAGCAAATAACAGGGTTTAGTCGAAGGAATCGAAGGAAACAACACGAGAAACTTAATTATACCTTTCTGTCACATCATTCCTTTGTCAAATAGAGTGCTTCAGAACTGTTTCCATCTCCTTTACCCAAATGTTGAAATCATAGTGTTTGCCACGACAATTTTGGCCGAGATAATCACCCTAAGAACAGTAAGCTACTAATTTAGAAATAAAGAAAAGCATGCTGTCACAGTTTAAGAAGTCGGAAAGAAAAACAATCGTTAAACTGATCACGTATTGCTGCACCGAGATACTGAAATTGTAAACATATCGCGCTCTTCTGGAGTCGGCAGCGCTACACTGTTGGAGCAGCTTTTGGTGCAATGGTGGATGAACATTAACGTATGGGACAAGCATAATTTAATCCAGCTAGCCACAATACCGCATTTGTGATACAGTTTAAAAGTTGCACAACTCACTTTGCTTGAAAAATAGTTTGTGATTGACGTAACTGCTGCAATCACTTTCCTAGGCCAGATTTATAGACTGTCCTGGCTATCACTATTTACTTTGATTTATACCAGCTCCTCCTGCTGTATCACTCCATATCATCTCCACATAAAAACCACATGTGAGAAAGTAATGGTTTGTCGGAGCTCGCATCAATCAAAAGCAAAGGTCAGGCGATAGATTTGGAAGCTGCGGTCATAAAACCTCAGACCTCCGCGACCCCTTGACTGCTTTACGGAAAGACGAAAAGACTCGGCGGAGGTGGACGAGATAACAGCTGCAATGTGTTTCCATGGAAGAGTGGGTTCACCAGGGTTATGAGCCGTATCATTTTAACTGCTGTATGCTAATACACAGCAGAACCATATGGCAAAATTGACTGGGGCATTTAATGTGTGTGTGTGCGCATTTGTGCGTTTCAAGGGGACTGTAAGTCTAGTGAGACTTTCTAATTATTGTGTTTTACAAGCAGTAATGAGGGGAGATGGAAAAGGTTTGAGGAAGAGGGGGGGGGAACGTTTTACACCTGAAGGTTTCCAATAAAACAAAACAAAGGTCTACTTGTACACAAAACACACGTATGCACACGTAGGACATCTGTGGTCAAACTGCCACAGCTTGACTGCTTGTATAAAGTTCAGCCACATACTCGACCAGTTACACAACGCACCACGTGAACGCTGCATTTGTGCTTCAAATGAAGGCGGCGTAACGAAACACACCGCTAACAAGGTTTAACTAGAATGATCTGATTTCTGGTAAACCGTGGGTACGTTAACTGCCAAACTACTTCATACTGTATATTTAACTTGCATGGTCACTTTGACTCACTCGGTTGTGTGTGTTTGTGTTCGTCCCATGTGTTTGTCGTTATGTTTTTATGGCGTTCACCCTGACCTGTGTAAATTACTTGAAAGGCGGATTTTTCACCTCATTTCTTACGATTCGATGTTGTGAGCTGTCGAACCCGTGAGGAATGTGTTTGTGTTACTGCGTGTGTTCATGCGTCCATACAGCTACGTATGTGTAGAATGTGGCACATGTTTAGAAGGCCCGTCAGAGGACTTGACAGTGTGGGAGAGCAGGCTGCCAACATTTGTGGAAACAGAACAAGATATCGACGCTTTGACAGAAAACCAATCGCTTGTAAATGAATCGTTAACTGATTACAAAATGCCCAATGTGCTGCTTCCACCTGAGGATTTACTGTGTCTGTCTTCATTGAAATTATTTATCACTCCCTCAAAAAATCCATCGACTAATAAGTCTTAATTAAAATAATAATTACCTGCTGCCCTTCACCTCTTACCAGCGCACATCTCTGTTGGACTGAGGGATCTAGTTTAGCTACAGAGTTTCGCTGACAGCCGAACTGTGCAGCCGTTATCAGCAGACATTTCACTAAACGTCAGGAAGAATTAGTTTCAAAATGCGGAGTGTGAAATGTGTAAAATGAGCTATAAAGACTGTAAAAATTGAATGTAATTGTTCAAGATAATGTCAGTAATGTTTGCTATCCATTATAACCTTTAGGGGAGATGATGCTGAAAAATAACCTGCCAAACGACTATTTCTTGGTCCATCTTTCTCGTTTTGTCAGATTCTATCCATCTTGTCCTTTCTTATCTAAACCTGATCCTATTCTTCCTCGTCCAATCTTCTGCTGTGATTTGATGCCAGTGGAGCTGCTTCGCCGGCCAAAAAAAAGTCCCTCTGTTGTGAAGATTGTATTCCCTCCCTTGCATGCGTGGTTTAAGACAGCGGAGAGTTACTTTTTGAAGGAGCAGGAATGCGACTTGAGCAGAAACAAATGTTTGTTAACAAGGAACCAACTTCATTTTAGGACTTCGTAAGGTCAACTTTTGCTGTTATTAATTTAAAAAATGTGCAGCTCCCATCTGTGTGCTGTCCTTTCTCTGTTTCATCTCCCTGTGTGTGTGTGTGTGTGTGTGTTTGAGGTTATGGTTTGATGATGGCAAGGTCAAAGTTAACAGTGACAATATGGAAGCTCTTCCAAACACAATCATCGTAGAGCCACTCTGACCGGCATCTGCGTCCCTGTCTCAGTTTGATCGTTAAAGTGTTTTCATGGTTTGTTTGTGCGTCCATGTAGTTTTCATTCCTATGTAAATCTAAAAAGCATGGCAGAATGAAGAAGATAATTTCCGTCTCTTCAGAAGTTTTAACATTGAAGACAATGTGTTGTTGATTAGCTGAATTGCTTTGATAATACCCTGCTCTCTGCTTGTTTTTGTATGCTTGTTAGGCTACTTAAATTCCTTTCTGGAGGCATGTAGCTGCGAGGAGTTTTTCAGAGCAGCTTCTCAGCTCCTTAAAAACCCTCGACTGGAGCTGCCATCGCTGGAGAAGCTCTCCATCCTCCTGCAGAAGCTCTCCGGCATCAGGTAGACACTGTGATCTCGATGTTCATAATATCACATGTTAAACAAAGAGTAACACATCCGTGATCCTGGGTCGTAACTGCCTGCATGCTCAGACATATGCAACCTGTAGCTGCGCACTCGTGTCAGTCCTTTTGTGTCTGTGCAGACTGATCGTTATCTGTCTAAGACTCAACCTGAGTCCAGACATAAACCGACTCTGAAGTGCTGGAAAGAGGAACATTCTGGAAACCAAAGGAAGGTTTAAATCATATAATTTCTAGATGTGGCAGTTTTATATTTATTAGATCCTTTGTGTGTGTGTGTGCTGAAGTTATGTTGACTACACACCTTCACACAACGTTTTATCAATGCAACAGTCTGGGATGGAAATATTGGTCAGTCCGTCAGGTCAAATTTGTAGAGAATACTGAGCAGATGATGGGAGTTCATTAGAAAACAGTCTCCATAAGTAACTTTGAATTTCTGCCACAACTTATGTAATGTTTCTCCTTGCACAACTCTGTGTTTGCATCTGTGATCCTGGAGGTCAGGGACATATAAATATATTATCTGAGACGATCGTGATCTGTTCAAATGTTCAACTTTAGACTTCTGGTCAATTTTATGCACGGGAAATCACACAAAGCCTGCAGTTTGTTTCCCAGAAAAAAAGGCTTTTTTTGTGGTTCTTAATATCAAATATTTCAACATCCATGATTCCCTGACAATGGATCCATATAACTCTGTTGATCCATGACTTTTCCTTATTTACCGTATCTATAGAGGTGTAGTAATGTGTTAGTAGTTTATTTTCTGGATGCAAGCTGGTCAAGAATGTTTTCAGTGACCCACTATCAGAAAGGTAGCAGCCACATGCTAGACTGTGAACAGCTATAAAAATGACACAACCTTGAAAAAATGCAGGTATAACAAGACAAAACACCAAGTGATCTAGAATAAGGATGAATCTGGTGATGAAGACAAAATAATCTAAACAAGCAGTCACCAACAATTCCTGCCTAGCTTACCTTTAAGTGGTTTTAAACACACACTCTAATCATTGTTTGGTACTCGGTGACCAACACTGAAAGGTATTCTAATTAGCAGGTACCACTTTTGTTTAGGCCTGTCCATCCAGGCAGTATTTACCCAGCCAGAGAGGATTATTTGTATAGTCATGGTACACTGGTGCAGCACTGAAGGTCTCACTGACACAGTTTCATTGAATGTCTTTTGACTGACTCGTGATTTTGTTTTTATTTAAATAATTTTGTCCAGGAGGAACCGTCGTCTGTTTGAGCTCTCCTCCCTCCGACACCAGATACAAGAGCTGCATCACAACACCGACCCGGCACACACGTTCCTCTGCCTCAACCTCCGATCCATCCTTCACAACCTTAGATAACACACACGTGTTTCTCTGCCTCATGGTACATTCAAGGTTTCTGTCAAAGCTTAGACTTCTTATTCAGGATGACATTCCCTCTATTTTACAACTTCAACACTTTGCCTCCTCTTCTAATGTGTGTTCAAGCTGCAGTTATTGACCATACGCGAAAGCAGCAGCTCGATTCCTCCTCTACCTCACATGACATCTGCGGACATATTTAACACCGATGTGTTTTTGAAGTTCTTTCGTCTGTCAGAAGTGCTGTTTTAAGGCTGTGTGTGTGTTTTGCACTTGGCGACCCGTACTGTTTTTGTTCTAAAATGCTAATCTGATGTCTTTTTCTTTCATGAAACCCCCTTTAAAAGAAAAAAAACTATCAGAGTATCACGCTTGCGAGAGGTTGTGACTGTGAAAGTTTTAATGGCAATAAACAGAAAGAACTGAAGTACATGAAGTTTGGATGGCATATGAAATGCTGAAGTCCATATGTTTTTTATAAACATGTCTTATTTATTTATTCCAGAGCATGGGTGGGTTGATGGGAGTAATGGTCTCAGTATGGGACACACTGGTGTTGGTTGATGGAGGAGATTGGACGGACTGGAACAATTAGAGCTGATATTTAAAATGTACTTGTTGAAAACCGCTCGGATCGTGCTTGCGCTGGTCTGAATTTGAAAGGCATGCCTTCAGGTTTCTTAAGGCCCCCCACAGAATCTGAACTCCTTAATTAACTGCATGTTTGTTAATTTATAAACTTTTGTTCAAATCAGCGTTTGAGGATAGTGAGCTTGATGAAAGATTTGCTGGATATTGTGTCCTGGGATCACATGCGTCCTGTAGGGAAATAGAATACAGCGTTCTCGTACGTTTGGTCTTCTACGCGAGGCCCCTAAAAGGACTCCACATGATTGATTGAAGAATGAAACGAGCCTCTTGAGATGCGTCCTGTCATTTTGAGACGGTTCTGACAAGTTATTACATACCAAGTTGTGCGTCAGTGATTCTGATTCATTAGTGGAAAAACAAACATAAAGAAGCAACAGGAATGGGATGGGAGAACATATGTTTGCTCTTTTTCAGGGTCAGACTGAGGAGAACATAGCCTAGCACAGCACTCTTATTATAGTTTTGCATACATACCTTGTCTCTGATTCTGCTGCAGCAATTATATCTAATTAAAGTCACCCTTAAAAGGGATGTTTCTTTATCTGTAGTGTCACAGATAAGGAAATGTGCACCCAGGGGTGAAAGTATAAAAAGGTACTATTAGTGTTTAATCACTTGTAGATTACTGCGTTATCAGGATGATCTGGGATTCATCCATCCTTGATGTTGAAGCATATTTTCCCCAGAAGTCTGTTGAGCTTTGAGTCTGTCCTCACGGCCCCCCAATTCCTGCATGCTCAGGAGAGCAGCACTAAAATTCAGTTTTTATCTTCAATTTCAAATAAGAAAGAGATCCTTTAAAGAGAAGTGTCTCTCTGAGGAGAGACTGATGCAACAAAGGTGGCAAAGTTTTCTGTGATTTTCGCTTGAAACTGTTCAGATTTCACGTATGTATGAATTATTCTTTGGTAATGAGACTTTTAATATGTTGGTTTAGGACCAACTGATGCATATGTTTGAATAGTTTGAGTCACGGCGGTGCAGCAGTTAGCGCTGTCGCCTAACAGCAGGAACGTTTGGCTCTGCTGATCGGCTGAGGCGTCTTTCTCTTTGTGCCCGTGTGGGTTTCCTCATGCTCTGGCTTCCTCCCACAATCCGAAGCCATCATTTTAGGTCAGTTTTAGGTGATTCTCAATTTGCCCTATTGGTGTGAGTCTCTATGTGATGAACCAGTGACCTGTCCAGGGTTTATTCCATCAAGGAAACGTTGTATAGAACTGACAGATGGATGGAAATTTGAAGTCTTTAATCTGTAGGTTTTAAACCACCTGCTCAAGAAACGGTCAAGATGTTTGAAACGAAATACTCTGCAAATAAATGCAACCTGCTTCAGATTTGAATTAAAGTAATATCTTGAGTGATGGCAGACTTTTGGAAACTGTTTGCATGTGCAAATAATAGTTGCAATTGGTAGAAGATGAGATGTGGTCGTATTTTAGTGAAATTATTGCACAGTTGCCAAAGGAAATGTCAGTTTTTTATGGTTGATACATTTCTAGTATTATGTATCCCTGAAATCAGCAGAACCACGACAGCATGTCAACTGGATTTACTTACTACATTTAAACCATTCTGTGATTTTATCTTTTGATCCTACAGTCTATAAAGTTCAGGCTTGAGCTGCAGCTCACAGTTGATCCCGTTTAATGATAAGAAATGCTGTAACTCCAAATCGGTTTGGTTTACAACCGTGCAGCAGGCAATCACGACAATGTTAAAGTTCTGTTTAAACACACAATGTCTGGAAAACAATTTACTTTTAGTGCGCTTTTAAAAAAGTATTGCACTGTTGTAAATAAGTAGTATAATTTTAATCTCCCCTGGGGGTGAAGCTGCATTGCCAGGGTAGACCAAGACTTGGAGATCCCTGTCTGTTCCTCTAGTCTTAGCCTAGCTGAACTTCTTTATGTGCTTTTTTTTTGTTGCTTTAACTGCACACAACCTCAAGCAAAGGTGATTCAATTAGAGGTTAAAGAGGCTTTTGGCAGCAGTTTGTGAGAGCAGAATATTTACGCTTCTTTTGTGGCTGTTCCAACTGTGGATCGTACCACACAGCAACTCGGTAAACATCCATAATACTGTACATCTGCAATTTTTAACAAACCATGTTCTGGACCTGACCTTAAGGTAGGTCATCGTGAGGTGCATGAGTTTGTGTGTCCTGAAAGATACTGATGTTTTCCCCAAACTGCATGCAGCGGTAGTCCAAAATGTTCAGCTCTTCTCTTACAATATGGTGTCACTTAAAGGCCGATGTGGTTAATAAAAATCCCTCCGTCAGTATCATCATGTTATCGTCAACCGTTTCTTCGTCATCCATCTCTTGTGCCTCGGAGCTCGTCTCCAGATAGAGTACAAATTGAAGCGTGTGAGGCCGTTAATCACTTTCTGCCTCCATCGGCTCATCTGTTGCTTTGGCAAAGCTGCAGTTTGGAGCTATTGGGCAGAATAGTAACACATGCAGCCTGTGACAAATGAGTGTAACTGGGTGAGATCACAAATAAAGCCATCTTGCTGTTAGTGTTTTAGTTGAGGACATACAATATGAATGTGTTCACACCCAGCAGATGAGTAAATTAAGCCACGGATCTCAACTTTGTTCATACTTTGTCTTGTACAGTCGCGACTCGATGATCCGTCACTAATTGTAAAACCTTCATTTATGTCAGATATCAAGGCTGTCGGATTGTCAAGACGGAGGTCGAGATACAAGGAGGGCTTGATGCTTGAAGGCTCATTTGCTGTTAATATTTATTGGTCATAGTTGTTCTAATATCTAGTGTATTGTTAGAACACTACGCATCGCTGTACGTCACGCCTAACTGACCGGTGCGCTTGTGCACGTTCCGGCCACTTCCACCCCGTCAGAGTGCACCTCTGGGGTGGAAGTGGTCGGAACGCACAGGCAGTACTTGGCTGCTGATGCTAGTTTAGTTAGCGTTCACACTTCTGGCAGATGCGCTCGTTACCATCCATGTTTACTTCCCTAAACACTGAGCACGCTCGCTGCCTGTGATGTCGTCGTGTCCTCTTCTGTGCATGCGGGACACTTTTGGGTCGTATGAAGTTCACACAGCAGATCACATACAAGTCGCATTTAATTGGAAATGTGAACAAACAAAATTGGATTTCCTGCAGTGTGATTCCATCTGTGGGATTGTTCAGTCAGATAATACGCCGTTGTCCTGATTGGTGAAATAAAATGTCATGTCGGAGTCAGAATCCAAGGCTGTCGGTATGTTAAGGCTGTTTTTCATGGGTTCCATTTGTTTTTCCTAAAAACCTGTCGGATAGCAAGGTTTTCGAATTGTTACGGGTCGGATTATCAAGTCACGACTGTACATCAGAAGGTTCTTTGATATACAAATAGGTAGGAACAAAACATGTAATGCAGCTGGTCACAACACATATAACAGGTTACTACAGCTAGTCAGATGGAAAATTCTGGACAAAGAAGAAAGATAAAGATAAAGATAAAGATAAACTTTATTCATCCCGAAGGAAATTGTTTTGCCAGAGTACAGTTAAAGCAAGCAAAACAGTTAAAGTAAACAAGTAATTCCAAATAAGAATAAAAATAAAAAGTAAAAAATAAAACACAACAAAAGTCATACTTCATCACACATTGATGCTCTCAAGGTTGAAACTGAATATTGAAGGCAGAACCTCTTCAAATTCAATTTCAAAAACATGTCCACACTTGTGAGATAATGCTGACTCTTATACTACCCACCACCGTGAGCTTTTGTCTAATCCGAACCAAGTGTTTCATTCACCAAAGAAACCTTCACTAGAGTTTACTCGCCGTGACCGTGATCTCGTTGCCTGCCTTCATTGTAGTTGTCATGCACAGACACAGAGGTTTCATTCTTTGAGTTTTGCATAATCAAGAAATATAATTCTTGCCCTTAGTTTGGTAAAAATAGCTGTTTTAATGTTCTTCAAAGCTTTTTAAATGTGTGTGCATGACAGAGCGTGTGTTTGACTACATTTGATTGTATGAGTTCCTAAAGTGACAAACCAACCATTACAAACTTTCTGTCTCATTCTGATGCTTCAGGAGAGCAGCCATGTGTCACAAAAACTGTATTGTGGCAAAGACGCACTAGCTAGGAATAGAAAGTGCTCATAGAGTAAACAGTTTCTATTGATTCCTTTCAACTTTTTAACGTTGGAATTCATTGTAGCTGACAGGAATTCAAAGTTTTTACAGCCGTCCTTCACGACTGAAGGGGATGAGTGTTTGACAGTGGAATAGATTTTGGGTAGAGTATGACTTTAATGAGGCTGTATTGCCTATGTGTCTACTCCAGGAACTGTCAACAGCTGATGTATTTATTTTCATGACTTCAGTTAAATCTGCTCCACGCTGCAGTCAGCGTAGCAGTGTCTGGTCCGCGTTTCCTAACAAGCTCGACTCTGCCAATCTACCCTGGACAGCGTCAGCCACACAGCGTTATGCGCTGATCTTGATTTATGTTTGGCTTCTTTCAGTGGACCAAAAATTCTGAAAATTACTCCGAAGAGACGAAGTGCTCTGCTCTGGCTGGTAAACCTTATTAAAATGTTATTTGGGAGGTGGGAGGAGGAAGCTGGCAGGGGGAAACATCGGCGGTTCCAGTTCAGCAGAAACCATAAAGTCAAGTCAATCAGCAATTTGATGTGGCAGACCACCATATGAATATTATTTCCACCAGCCGCAATACGCTTGCCTGAGTGATGTAGAAAGCACATGGAGGTTGGGGTAATATACCTGACTGTAAATGAGCAATTGTGTGATGGATTTGAGTGGAACCAGCTGTCAGGGGTTATGTACGAGAGACGGGCTGGGATCACACCGGTTTCCAACTTCGACGTTTGTTTTCACTTCTTTTATTCTGCTTTTCGGTTTTGTGTCTGTTAAAGAGACTTGTCAATCCTGATTCAAACCAGGGGCTGTCTGTATACGTTGCCTGCGTTCCTATCCATCATAATGTGAAGAATGCCAGCTTTTGATGGCTGTACGATGCTTTATTTCAAACCGCTTTTGTTTTTAATCAGTTTGTTTCATTCTATAGCCCAACACATGATGCAGTCTGAGCAGTATTTTTTTAACGCGGTCGTCCCAGATTTGTATTGAACTATTTTTCTCAACATGTTTGTTTAGAAACAACATGCAAGTCCCTTTAAAACCTATTTTTATTTCCACCTTGTGTATGAACGTATTTAACAAATGGAGATATGTTTTATTAGAGAGCTTCAAAGGTGTTGGTATGCTTCTTTTTTTTTTTTTTTTTTAGAGCAAAGCTATCACTAATCTCCTGCTGCACTCTGCTCACAACACCCACCTGTCACACAAAGCTCCCTTAATTATGCATAACTTTAAGCCCTAATACAATTTTACAGGATGAGTTATACCACAAATTCGCATCCTTTACCCATAGCAACCAATACCTTTTGTTTTTATAGCAGTCTGTAAACAGGTTTAAAATGTAAATTAGCCATTGAACTTGGGGGTTCTATGGGGATTTATTCACTTTTGGAGCCAGCCTCAAGTGGCCATTCTGCAGTTCTTATGTTGATGCTTGTAGTTAACGCAGCGAGAGTGTATCGATCTTGTCGTCTCCTCGTCTTGGCAGGAAAGCACACATCACGTTTTTTCTGCTGTAAATGCAAGAAGCATTTCTAATGAATAATTTATTCTATACCGACTGTGACAGTACGTCAGGGGATATTTCCTTCTGCAAAATCGTGCTACAGTCACTGCTGTTGAAAGCTATTAAGAGTGCAAACACAGTTCATCAGACACCAGTTCTGATCCAAACAAATTATAAAAGATACGACCGACTGAGGTCTGGACACTACAGGCGCTCTGTTGTTTGATGTGTCTGCAGGCTGAAGGTGTAGCTGACTGGCAGAGGTTTAATTAGTCTTCTGGTTGGCACTCCTTGCCCTGGAGAAGCTCTCTATGGCTTCACCTCTTCATATGAACGCAAGCCAAGTGCTTTAAGACGCAAAAACAGACCCTGAAGACACACATTTATGCATACGTGTGTGTGCGTGTGTGTGTGTGTGCCTACTCAACCTGTATGTGTGTGTGTTACGAAACTAACCGACTTCTCAGGTGGGACGGACTATTTGTGGGCAATTCGGAGCGTTTGAAACATGATGAGAGAAAGAGCTCAATGCTGCCCCGACACCCCACAGCAGCATCAATACGTCTCCACTGCCAGACAGGCCTTTTTCGGAACCAGCCTTAAGATCCTCAGCCAGCACATACACACCTTATCGTTTAGCTAAGGCTGTTGGAATTCTGGCACAAACACACTCCCACACAGAGTGAAAGCCTGATGACAGAGAGGTGAGCAGAGGTGGAAGCTGCCACTGCAGTGGCTGATGTCAAGTCAGTGGAAAAAGATCAGTGGGTGCAGCTGATTGGTTTTTACTTGAGCTTTGTCTAAAACACGATTTCTCCGGGCTAAGATTTGTGTTGGTGCACATCAGCTTAAATCTTTCTCTAATTCTCTGAAACAGAAAATATGATGCAGAAATCAAGTATCTGTGTTATTCTTAATCATTTAGTAACAGCGAATTATTTACAAAAAGAACCAACTCTGTTTATCTAGAATCTTTTATACAAGCAATGCAACACAATAAGAAGTGATTATCTTTAAAAGGAGAAGTGGTTTGGCTTCTTGCAGTAGCAAGCCTGTGGAGGAGATAAAAAATGCCTGTGGGGGTGAGATCTAATGACTAAATGAAGTTATGGTCGTCTAATTGTGTCTTACAGCCTTTTTCCAATGAAATCATCTTTTATTTGACTAACCATCTAATTAATATGTCACATTTAATGACCTTTAATTAAATGTTTGAACTGGAAAATGTTGTCATTAAAGATTTTCCATTTGGTCTCTCAAAGCCATTAAGCAACCCCGTCAGTGTCAGCAGTAACGGCTGACAAACATGTGGGATGGACGACTGTACGGCTTATTTACTGAGCTCCGGATGGATGTCGTTTCCTTCTGATATGATGCAGAGACGTTTTCTGGTTAGATTTTAAACTATATACAGACTGCTGCAGACTTTAAAGACACGGGGATGCAAAAAATATGTTTAGCAAGTTGTAATCTCATAATATTAGAGTATCTTGTCTTATACAGCAAATATAAAATGCGTTTAAAACAAAAGCACATTTCTAAGAGATCTTATCTTTTCTGGTGCAAGTCAAGTAGTCACAATAATAAACACAAGAAATCCTTTAATCACATATAAGTCTGGGAATACTGTAATAACAAAGCTTTTATACTTACCAGTCAGTAACTACGGTATTAAATTCAAATGCCATGCAATGTCAGCCATACATCTTTATTAAGGTATACTTTATGTACAATAATAAGTTATATATACATTTACACTTTGGTTCTGTGAAGAGTTTGTGTGTTTCTACATGTTCTGTTATACTGTATGTGCTACTGAGGTAAGTAATTCATGTTTGGCTTCTGTACATCGTCATATCAGCATGATATAAGTCAGGTCTGAAAACAGTTCATTTCAATTCAGTCCACCAATTAATGTTTTTTTCTTTTTGTTTTTTTTTTCAAACAAAACTTCAACAGCATAAAACAACAGCAAAAAAAAAAGAATCTGTTTTGAATTGAAGTGGACTCGATGAGGACAAATCTGCTCCGAGAAGAATATTTAAGTGTGAGCTTTAGATCGAAGACAAACAAATTTATGGATACACACTTAATGAGCATGCACATTAATTAATTTAAAGTACTGGAGTCCAGCCCCAGATTGCAATGCAAATTATGAACAAAAAGGCATTAAGGGGGAAAAAAAATAAAAGAATCTGTGCAGATCAGACAGGGGACATAATGCAGACAACATCAGATAAAGACCAGTCCTGTTCCCAAGACGTCAAAGTGAGTCTTGGCGTTGATTGGACTGTGGAGCTTACTCCTGAGTTTGGAAGCTTAACTGCTACAGAAATCAGGTGACTTGACCCGCAGCGTCTTCACCGCGGACATCATCACTGTATTAAAGTTAAAAATGAGGATTAACTCGATGCTGCTCATGAGCTTTAACCCCGAAGCTTATCAGAGCTCTCTGTACTGTACGTACAGCATCTAACGGGCTTCAGCTGCTTTTCAGGACTCACACAACTGCATATTGTTCTCATTTGCCATATTGGTCCCATAGGCGAGAGGGGAGCTTAAATCCTGTCTGAGCATGACTGAGCCGACCACAAAAGCTGAATAAAATCAGACGTTATAGAACGACCGTAGAGCTGCCTCCGTCGCGGCCGGCACCATTCTCCCGCCGCTCACAGTGCAGCAACCCCTGCGGGCAGTTAGTCATTCCTCTGCCCTGGCATCGCTCTTTTTAAAGCAGGCTTTTTACAGCTTTTCCACTGGGCTTTCAGTGGTTAAGTGGCCCTAAATGCTTAATTAGGTGCTGGAAATCACAGGCACTTTGCACCCGCTCTGTAAACCACAACACTTCAGCCTATTAGGGGCACGGGGAGCCACACGCCAAATAATTAGGGCTGGCGGCGGCACTAGACCGCAGCATCGGGGAGCACGAGGGGGGAAGAGGCAGAGTTATGAGCAGGGTCACAGACTGGGTCACTGCTGAGGAAGTAGCTGCAGTAACAGAGTAGGCTGATCTGCGCGTTAAAGTTGTAGAAAGAGGATTGCGGACACGTGTGCGAGTAACGCCGCGCTCGTTCGGTGTATGGGATTAATGCTCCAACACTGAACACACCACGTAAAATGAGTCCATGTGTTTTGGGGTTTTAAGTGAGGTGGTTGGTTGAACTTTTCCGTACACTACATCTGCTTGTGATCACCGATTCCACACTTACCACACATATGTTAATCAATGAATAAAACTTGTGTTTTAAACTAAACAAGATTGCAGGGTCAACCCAAAATTGATATTTTCCTAAAAAAAAAAAAATCCACAGAAATAAAAATATCACGATCTGCTCTCGTCTACTGTTGCGTGTTTTCTGGTGAGATCCCAATTCAGCAAGAGACACAAGGGCGTCCACAAATGCCCAAAGTTCACAAGCGAGTTTACCAGATAAAAGCTGAGGCGAACGATGCTTTAGCATTTCCAGCTGTGTATAATAAGCGCATTTTAAGTAGGGAGCTCGAATCTGCTGTCTTTCCTGTGTGATGACAGCGCGGCCAAAAGCACAGTTATGAATTTTAATTGATGCTGTGGTTAAACTAGGTCACTTTCTTTATACGGACACAAACATCTGGTTTCTTCGACTGCGGATGAAGGACAAGGATTTGGTCCCGATCAGAAGGTTCCGTGAGAGTGCAGCTCAGAAAGCATCCTCGGTCTGAAGGCACTTTGTTGCCGCTGCCGCAGTAGAGCTGCACAGCGACCATTTCCAGCAGCACACCATTGCATCGTTATGAAAAGTTTTTTTTTTAGAAATCTGTGCTAAATTTCATTTTGTAAAGAAAAACGTGTTGTGTTGCGTCCAGCGCACGCTCCACTGAAGTTCTGTAGCACTTGAGAAAGACAAAAACCACATCAACGAATTCTGATTATTATGTTCTTGCAGAAGAGAAATATCTGAAAACAAGTGAAAAACCTGAAGCTGAGGTCTTTGATTATTTCATTTCTCTCAAATTTAAAGCGGACTATTATGCAGAAAACCCATTATAGCGAAAAAGGATTGTGGACAGGGAGTCCACTGACATTCTTCATGTGATGGGGTAATGTGTATACTGTATATGTGCTGTCCTTGTCAGAGCAGCATCTGTCCTTACATACATGTGCTCTGTAAGGCACCCAAGTCTCTCAAGTCTCTCAAGTCTCTGCTCCACCACATATCTAGACGCTGGCGCAGCGCTGGGATGGAGACGGGCAAGGTGAAGGACAGACTAACTGGCTGTGAAAGCTGCTGATACCCGGGCGTCCAGCCACCGCCGCCACCTCGCCGCTGCCCAGCACGTCGGCGCAGAGCGACTCCACGGCGTCCAGCCTCTCGATCTGCACCAGGCGGGTCAGGAGGTCGGGGATGCTGTAGCCCGCCGTGCTCACCCTCTCAAAGAGCTGCAGGCCGTCGCTCATGCCGCCGATCTCGTCGCGCTTCAGCCCGAAACTTTCTGCCAGGTGCCTCCACGTCTTCACCACGGCCGCCTCGCTGCTGTAGGAGGAGCTCAGCATGCGGCTGGCCTTCTCCAGGCAGTCGAAGGGGAGCTCTGTCGGGCTCAGGCCTGGAGAGGGAGAGCAATTCAAGAATTGGAATCAAAGTTGGCTGTCAAGGGTTTGATGGAGCTGTATTTTTTTTTTCTCCAATCCTGATCTGCGTTTCAGCTTTTTTTGCTGGAGTGTTTTGTCCTTTTAGACGTCTCTTTAGCTACTGTGAAAAAAGGTGGCATCTTTGTTCATCTTTAGTCATTTTTTTAAAGTCTTCACTCCAAAAAATCCAAGAGCAAAGTGAGGTAATGACTTCTTTTTCAGGAATTTTCTCAGTCAATGACATTTCTCATTTCAACACAGTTTATAAAGAGTTCATTTTTACCAGAAAAAAAAAGTCAAATCCCCCCACAGTATGAGCAGAAATCAGTTCCTGATTACAAAGTTGGATAAGATGGACACTTTCCTGTAAGTGACAAACTTACCCTCAGTCACATTGCAGGCTCTGGCATACAGATCTAGAATCTTTTTCCTTCGGCTCTGTAGCATCTGTGTGGTAAAAGCCAAGCAGACAAAAATAGCGTTATGAGGCTTCCAGATGATAAAGAATCTGTTCATAATCTTTCAGAGCTTCATCTTCCTACCCCTGGAGTTTTATTGTTGTTGTTGATCGCGTTCACACTGCTGATGTGGTTGCTGCCGGCGATGTGGTTGACGTTGTTGATGTGGTTGGGACTCGGGAGGTTATTGGCCTGGCCGGGCGCAACGGCACCGGTGCCGTTGCAGGCACGGCCGCGGTCCAAGAGCCCCAGAGAGAGCAGGCAGAGGTCAGGTTTGTTGCCCAGGTTGACGAGGCAAAGGTTGGGGTTGGGGTTCGTGGTCTCGGCTGATCCCTGTTTATCTGATGCCGCCTCCTCGTCGCTGTCAATGCTGCGGCTCAGCAGCTGCTCGTTCTCTGATGACGCATCGTTTTCACTGCAAATACAAACCATACAACTTATATCACTGCTTTCTGTATTGGAAGAACTACTTAAAATGTGAATGGCCTCCTGCAAATATTTCACATGTTTTTTATTTCGTAAAGGCGCACAACTGTCAAATAAACGTGCACTCTGAGTGTGGACTGCACGCAGAGTTTTGTCCAAATGTTTGTTAGTATTCCAACATCTATGCAACAAATCAGCTTCATAACATCCGCATTTTGTATACCAAACTTTGACCTATTTTTGGATTTTGGAAATACAGTTAACTTTCCAACAAGGAAGCAGTTGAGCAATCATTTAGCCTTCTAGCCCTATAGCTCACTAACTGACAGTTTTTGTTACCTTTGTGCAGAGCCACTGTCACTGTTTCTCCATTTCTAGTCTCTATAATGAGCTGCTATATCGTCACATTTATTCTACAGGCGTGATGAGCAGCTCTTGGTGAAAAACTTCAGACCAGGTTGAGGTAGGACGTATTAAAGGACGGTTGCACTGAACTATAGTTTTAGACGAATTAACTGGCAGCTGAGAGAATACCCCAGTTTCCTGACACTCTCCTTTCCGCCTCAAACATCTCCATGCATAACCATAATTTGCGGTCCGTATGTAAATGGCGACAGGTAATACACACAGAATGACTTGTGTCTTCGCGAACAGGAACTCGGGGACGAATGAAAGTGAACCGGAGAAGAATGCTGTTTTGTTGCCACGGCTGCTGATGTTTCTAAGCAGTTCCTGTGATTGACTGAAATAGCCCTGCATTTTACAACATGATACCGTATAATATCAGTTTATTACCCGTCTACTCTCTCTCCCTGCCTGCTCCGGATTTTCTCGCAAAAGCACCTTGTTGACAGAGATGCTTAAGAGAATGCCATTGTTTCAAAGTCCCACGCTCTTTTCCTGAAAACACACACAAAATGGCATTGTTTCCCAGACATCTAACACCCACTCTGGCAGCTAATGCAGTGAGTTAGCACATCCTCTGGCATGCTGCTATACCACACTATTTACCACTATTGATGCTGAGCAGCGTGTGTGTGTGTGTGTGTGCATGCATGTGTGTGCTTACATGTCTAATCTACTCTCTAATTTGCGGCTCTTTCATTATATATTGGAAGCAGCGTATCAATCTAAGCATGCTTAGTGCAAGCGGAGCACAGTGATCGCTGAAGGTTTGTGTGCAGGACTGAATGCTATCATGTGTTTCCACACTTCCCTCTGCGCGTTGGCCACCGCCTATAAAGCGGCATTGTCTTCACTCGAGGGAGGAGATGTGTTCGGAAAGAAAGAAGGTGAGGAAACTGTCATTCTTTTGTGGTCTGCCGGGACATGCTTTCACCTGGTGGTGGTTTTAGGTGAAGCCTGGAATAAATACCCCTATCCTCCCTTGACAACTACCCCCTCAGTCCGTCTCTCAGTGCCTGCGAGGCTTCGGGGCTCATCAGTGCGACCTCATACCCAAACCAAACCCACCTCTCTGCCTGCTCCAAAGCCACATAATGGCTCTCTGCTTCATTAAAAGCAACAAAAACTCTACTGAACTTGTTTTGTACGGTACACACATATACGTATAGATACAGGAGAAGGGGGGAGAAAAAAAAAAAGGCCAGCAGCAGTGATACTACAACTGCAGCGACTTGTTCTGTGGTGGCTTAATTATGGGCAGATGGTGAAAAAAAAATGATAAAAGATTCTTTCTGCTGAGTAGAGTCTTTGCGACGCCACATCCAAACGCACACACACACACACACACACACATATATGCATTAGCATTGTACATCTACATGCACATGTTCATGCTTTTTATTTTTTAGTTTTCTTGTGTGTTAATCGCAGGTACATAAAGGTAATGTATGTTTGATTTGCAAAAACTGACTCCAAGCTGGATTCAGTGCCAAACTTCTGCACATTACTTGTAAAATCAGTGATTTTAGTTCTTTTTTTTAAGCCAATCTGATGAACTTTAAGCTTCTTGAATGTGAGGCTATACTGTTTTTAATCAGCCGCAACAATTAAAACCTCTGAAAGGTTTGTTTTGATCAAGTTGTGATCGTCTCGTTACAACGCAAAGCTCTGCTGGAAAACTCCTGGCGTTCATGTGGATGTTACTTTGACATGTACCACCGAAATATTGTTGCTGACTAAGCACCCCTTCCCCCCACTGCAACAGCATTCCTCAACCCCACCAGCCTCCCCCAGAATGGTTCACAATATACACTTTTAAAATTGCTCAGGAATGTCTCGAGGAACACGACAAAAAGCTCAAGGCGTTGATGTGACTTCCACATTTCAAAATCCTGATCCAGTCTAGCATTTGTAGAGTGCACCAGAATAATCCCAGTCTATGGAAGACCCAGCCCACAGAGCCCAAATGATCCAATGCTAAAATCATCTAGCACTGAAAAGGACCCACACAATATTAGGCAGGTGGTTTTAATGTTGTGGCTGATCCATGTGGGTCAGTACCTGAATAATGTTAAGTTTTGGATTGTTGGTCAGACAGAAAAAGGCGCCTGAAGATCTTCAGCAGCTGGAAATTAAAGGATGAATTTTTACTGATGTTTTAAAGAGAAAACTAAGTAAAAGTAATGTAAAACCTGTGAATCAAACATATGCAGAGGCTGTTCAACCTGCTTGGTTTATAAAACTCATTTTACGGCTCACTGGTTGAGATAAAGGCAAAAAGTCTTAAATGCTTTGACCAGCTCCGTCATTTCAGAAGTTCTGAGCTCACCTTCATCTCCGTCAACTCTTTGTTTTACAGAATCACATCTCCCAGTAGGAATCTTATTTTGTGTAGGTATTGCTGAGCTCATAACGCGCTGCGTGTCAGCTCGCACTGAATCGTGTTTTCAGACTTCTGCTGCTTAGAACCATAAGCTGCCTGGATTTCACCAGTAATCACTGAAAATCTTCTTATTTTGACTGATCCAATTTGTTCAGATAGCGGGAGGCTGGTGCAGCCGCTTGAGAATCGCAGCTTTCTCTCACCTTTTCACCGTCTTCTGAGGAGGAGCTTTCAGCTTGTCAAACTCGTCTTTCTCTGCGTAGATCACCACGTTGTCTGAGAAGAGAGAGATGCTCAGGTTTACAAGTGAGCCTGTTAATGCACAGTGCAAGAAAAACAGAAGAGGCGGTGATGATAACATACCAAATATTACTATAATTGCTCAAGTGGAGGCTACAAGTGGCAATTAGAGGATAATGGCAAATGGAATTTCACCTCATTTTTTAAGATTCTCTTGAGTCTTTCGTGCTATTTCCCATGAAATGTACATAACATGGCTTTAATTATTGGTGATGTGTCATGTTGGTACACATAATCCACCAATCAAATCCCAGAATATCCTCCACAAAAAAATATATTATGAAAACACAAGTTTAGCAAAAATCACAACCCTTTTGTGTGTGACAATAAACTAAAACCACATCAGTGACGTAAAATCAGAAAAGATCTCACGTCTCGTTTTGATCTTTTGTCGCCAAGCAAGACCGCATTAGTGCCGTTTTTATTAGATGCCGCCGTGAGTTGGAACGCACAAAGCGGGACGGATTACGGAGGCTAAAAGGTTTTTCAAACAAGGGGAACTTCACTGCACTGAACAATGTATAAAATGATTACAGTGAGTATTATGTGAAATTACACTTACATCATGGATACTGATAGGGATAGACAGCTTAATGAGTGAAATCCTAAGTGGAACAAATGCCGCGCTGGTGTGTGTTTCTGCGTGAGAGTGTGTGTGTGTGTGTGTGTGTGTGTGTGAGAAATAAAGCGCCTGTGTCTTTCATCTCGCAGCCTTATTAAGTCAGCGTCTACGTGAGTGACAGTCAGCTCCGGTAGAGCTCCGAGCAATGGGCTTCTCTCCCACACACACACACACCAGTCATCTAAAGTACACTCAGACACACACACACACCCACACACACACCCTTATGATAACCCAACATTAACTTAACAATGCAGACATTTATTTTAAATAATACTCCAACCACTCTATTATGCTTTTTAGCTATTGCATTTTTAAGTAATAATGTGTCTGTGGCCAGGGATGCAGTTAGTGTGTGAGTGTGTGAGAGTGTGTGTGTTCTCATTCACACCACATGTAAGCGGTTAGTCAGTCAGTCTGGGAGTGAAATTGAACAGAGCATCATTGTCAGGAGAAATGGCGCCTAAAGCAACGTATGGCTTTAGCTTTTGGAAGCTTCACATTCCACCATGATATACTCATCACGCTGCACGTCCGTCAGCCTCCACACACACACACACACACACACACTTTGCATACATTAAGCTGCAAGTCATAAATATGCACATACATACTAAACTGACACATGGAGCCAATGATGTATGAACATTCAGATGTGAATCAGTCAGATCTGATGATGAGATGATTATGTTTCTTTGATGACATATTTAACGTAGACTCGATCAGCACCGCTGTGGTTGGAGGGCAGATCTTAACACGTGTTCACACTCCAGAAAAGCTGCCCTGAGTAAAGCAGAATTGTGGAGGAAACTTGTTTTCACTGTGGGATGGTTGCACAAAGATACGCAGCTTCAGTTAAACAGAAAAAAATCATTATCTGCTGAGCCCAAAGCGCTACAGGTGAGCTACACTGTGGTGGATGTTGGCTCGTCCGCAGATAGCATCCAGTGTTTGGATCACACATGAACACATGAACGGATTTAGTGAAAATTATATGTATAGTTAATAAGTGCTGGGTGGCATCTGTTCACGCTTCAGCTGACTGTCACACACACCGACTACCTCTGAGTGATTTCTGAGTTGTTAAAGCTAACAGTGGAAGCTCTCAAACTAATTATAGTTTGTGTCGTTACTATAATTACACAGCTTTATGTGTCCTTGTAGTATTTGGAGTGCATTTTTTTGAGTTCAGTTTGACCTCAGCTGCAGCTTAAACTGCGTCGGTTGTTTAGTGTATATTTTAAAACTGCGCCGCATGCAAGCAGTGTTTATGGAAACACAGTAATGATCAGTTAGTGAGTGTTTCCCCGTTTATTTTCACAGATATGAAAACACTGGAGCAAAACACACACAACTCTGTCACTGAGTTGATGTATGTTCATAGTTTTCTTTCTTTCTTCAATTTATCCTCGTCTCTCTCTCCAGCTTATAAGGAATATTTCCTCATATTACTTTTGGAAGTACAAGAGCAACATCACGTGTCTGCAGACTGTATTACCTCCATACAGTAGCCTCACAGTGCAGCAGCTGTAAACTAACTACAGCTACCTTTGTTCTCTGCTGACTTTTCTTGTTTACCCCGTGGTTTAGGAATGAAACCTGAACTATTGCCTCACAGTTGCATGCCTCCCATAACCAGTGTCTGTCCAGAATCATATAATATAGGTGGTGAATCAATGACAAAAGACAATTCTTCAAATACGGATGTTTCTGCAAAGAAGCTACAAATTCTAAATTCTTCCTACATATCTTTAACTTTACAGTTCAAAAGATCTGTACAACCGCCACCGAGTCGGTCTGCGATAAAATGTGACATATGGTCACACTCACATTTCCCTTTTGTTCCTGAGTTATGGTGTTGAATAACAGCCAGAAAAGTGGTTTTGCAGAACATAATGACGCCACAGTGAGGCTGAACGTCGACCTTTTGGATGTGAAAACTCGCCACTTCATTATTTTTATCCTATCAGATGAGCTATGGCATGTTTCATAAAGTTACAGTGACCGGGACCTTTGACCACCAAATTCAAAGCAGCTTATTCTTGAGTCATTTTGGATGATTGTGCCAAATTTGAAGAATGCTCCTCAAGGCCTTTCTGAGATCTGATGCTCTCGAGAACAGGACCCAAGCGCACGGCGCCTTTGTCCTCGGCTGTCACAAGCGCAGAGGCATGAAAAGCTGCTTTCATGGGTGGTCTTCTTTAAGATGTAAATCAAGTTAGTGGCACTTTTGCTCGCACATTTTTTCGTGGCACATTTTTGTATTGCATTTGTGTGTTTTTGAATTTAAATAACTTGTTTGCAGAAACTTGATCAAAGCCCTTGTGCAGGTTTTCCGACACCAGGATAAGATCGTGTGAAAAGTGAACCAGCAGCCGCGCACGAGAGCACAAACGTGGATAATGTTGGTGTCATGAGGATATGATTAATAAGATTACTTATAATTACAACGAGGCAAAGACTCTTAACCTTGATATAAGAGTGCATGTAAACAAATTAATCAGCTTTACAGTGTGTTTGTGTGCATCGTGTCTCACCAGGGACTTCTTTCTTGTCCTCCTGTTTGTTGGTCTGAGCCTCGACTGCTTTCACAACTTGTCCGGAACAACACGCTGCACACACACACACACACACACACACACACACACATATGAAGCGTCATGAAACACAGCATAATTTCAGCTGTAAGATGAGACTGTGTGCTGGTGCGTATGTCCTACCCTGACCACTCGGCTTGGCCTTCAGGATGTAAAACATGATGATGAGAACGATGGCGATGGCCATGATGAAGATCGTTGACATGGCAATAATGAGAGCTGTTGCTAGGTGACCCTGTCCTGGAGAATCTGAAAAATGGAGGCAAATGGAGATGTAAAGCGTTGTGTGTGTGAGAGAAGGAACAAAGAAAACAGACAAAGGATGGACGTGATGGATGGAGGCAGATGAAGCCTGTGTTTGTGTTTTTGATTGTGTTTACCTTTATCAGAATGAGGGAATACAGTTGTGCTGCCAGGGTCGATTAGAGGTTTTCCCTTTGGCTTGCTGGTTTGTGTGCCTGTAAAACACAGAGATTCAGCCCTAATTCATTAAATGAGAATGTATTAGTGAAGACATTTTTGTCCTGCTGAGCTACTACTGAGTGCTGCTGGTAGAGAGTCACACACACATTACAACATTTTTTACATGAAATCATATAATAAAACATTTAAAATGCAAAAAACAAGCAAAGCATGATCTAATTTATGAGAGTTATTTTCCATTATTCTCCATTTTTGTTATGGCACCCCAGCTGCCGCAATCCTACCGTTGAGCTACATTTAGGCTTTTTTTTTTTTGTTAATATTATTATTATTTACAGTGTGTGCCAGTTTTGATTAAAGTAATAGTCTGATGGTTCCATTGCCAAGCGAAGTCTTTACAGTAAATACGGAGCTACCACCAGCTGATGATTTTAGCACAAAGACTAGAAACGGGAGAAAACATCTTGCCTGGCCCTGTCCTAGGCACAAATTAGGCAAACGTGTTCAAACATACGGTGTATACAAGATTTAACGTGTAAATTAATTAGCTCTACAGACGCACACGGAGAGCTTTTGCTACCTTTTGACAGGACAGGGCTAGATGAGTGGTATATAGCTTCTAATTTAAATCTTAACAAGAACGCCAAATGTTGAACTAACATTGTTTCGTCCTTTTCTTCCATAAAACACTTCAGACTGCTCCGAGGGGAAGGTTACCAAAAAGCAGCATGTTTTGAACCTTTGCTACTCGTAGAGCTCACATCCTGTCTTTTACTGTTGGTGGCGACACGTAAGCTTTGGCATTTTACTGATGTTTCTACTCCCCAAATCCTCTCGCATGACATCATTTTGCGAGCGGTAACACTTGACTAAAGCGACTCTTCCTCACTAACAGCAGATGAACTCCATCTCTCTCAGACCTTCTCCTGTCACCGTAAAGAAACAGTTTTATCAGGCGGCGGGGAAACGAAACAGCTTTCTGTCCAGATTTGGCTCTGTTTTCTATCCATAGCTCCCCAAAATCCTCCTCCCCTCCCTCTTTTCTCCCCCACTGTGTCTCTATTTCTGGATTATTCACCAACTGTTTTTCCTCTTTCCTAATGGAGGTGTAAACTCCTGGCAGCTCATAAATCAGCTCTTTTAATCAGTCTTTCATTTCGCCGCGTTGATATACTGGAGACCTCTTTGGCATGTGCCCCGCTGCTTCCCCGTGGTCTCATGTCATCACACACACACACACACACACACACACACACACACACACACACACACACCAGTGCCCTGTGGCTGCAGACATTAACTCCGGGTATGTGTTTACACTCTCAGGATAAGGATATGAGCCTGAACTGGAATTCTGTTTAGAGTCTTGCGGTTTAATCTCTTAATCATGTCTCAAAGGCTGAACACACACTGCAAAATGATAATTCTGCAGGGCAATCTGGATATTCAGGTCCAAACATACCGAGCGCAGCAGTCTAAATATATCTGTAAAACAAAGCATTTTTTTGTTGGAGGTGAGAACTGTGATACCTCTGCAAGCGGGGATGAAGCGAAGGTTAACTTCCATCATGTGAAACCGTGATATCGAGTCACGTCTCCGTTGATCGTGAGCAAGTAGGTGTTTAGGTGTGTTTGTACCCACTTTTGGACGACGGCATCAAAAGTCAACAGAAATCAAAAGGTAGAGACGGGGGGTGATGCTGACAGCAGACCTGCCAACGAGTAGCATCGGCGCAAGCACAAACACGCTAATCATCTTTCTTTCTCAAACCCGCCGAAGTTTTAATTATCACACACAGAGATAGGCAGGAGCCAGGGTAATTTACAGATTACATGGCAAGTGTCAGCCTGCCTGCACCCTGAGCAAGTAGAACTCCCAGCGTTCAGCTCCTTTTTTTTTATTTATTTACTGTAGGAGGGTCCATCATTTTGAAGCTCTTGTCTGTAGGGGTTCAATTCAAATATGCCTCGTTTACCAGATGGATAGAAGGATTTTATCTCTTTTCCAAATAGTGACACTTATGTTGTCGTAGAAAACAATGGTAAATGCAACTATATTAACTTTGGTTATATTCATGAGAGTTATACATGAATGCAAGAAGTGGCTTTTCCAAAACGGGTTTTAATTAATATGAATTCACAATAGAGTTTCTTGCTACACTCGCCAGTTTTTGCAGCGTTGCATCACTCTGCCTCTCTCGCTTGAACTTCTTTACAGCATCATTCAATCACTCATTTCCATGCCTGGGAGAGACAATTAGGTTACTGTTGAAAAGCAAGTGTTTATTCACACACAGACACACACTCGCACACACACACACACTGTTGCTCCGACATCACACCCTCTCCTCTGCAGGCCCAGGCTGCTTTTTGGGGTTTTCATCTTTCAAAACATACTCATTAAATATGACACAATAACAATAAAATTTGTTTCCGGCCTCCTCAATTATACTCAAAGGGGGTTTTGAGCAATTATGGGCCCATAAATATCATTCCCATAACAGTGTGCATCAGTGAGGGTCAAAAACAGAGCTCAGAGCCCCTCGTTTTTTTTTATTTTTATTTGTCACATCTGGACAAAACCCACAGAGGGCACAGCAGGACACTGCTCATCGGTAGCAACACTCATCTTATGTAACTTTTTCCTTTTTGTGGCTTTTCTGAACTTAACACTGAAAAATGTGACACTGGAAGTCTATTGTTGCTGACAGACAATAAATTTCGCTGCTAATTTTTCATACTAAATTGATTGACATTGACATTTTTTGTGCCAGTTATCCACAGTATCCAATTATATGCTAAGGGATTGAAGTCTGATCATTCTTATAGTGCTTTTAAATACATCTGAAGGCTTTTATCCGAGGACACAAGATGACAATTGATTCACACAAGCAAGACATACCCAAAGGCGATAATATGCAAGTGTTTAGAAATGAAAAAAATACAGTAAAGCGCAAAAGTCAGGCCTAATTTTCAGTAATGCATCATCACTCATAAATGCTCACCAAATTTTTTATTTGTATTTTTTATGCTCTGGCATCAAACTTGCTTACACACTGTCTCATATGGTCGCAATATGCCCGTGTCACCACTGTCGAATGCGAATACCATTACAGTAAAAATTAAATAATCGAGTCGCAGCGATAGTTGGCGCCATGTTTGCGTGCACACAGACAGAGGCAGGATAATCAGCGAGGCAGCAGCGTTATTGATGAGCATCCACACACCCCCAGCGGAGCCAGAGAAAGCAGTGATCCAAGGAGTGATCCACGACTTCTTTGCATCCATCAGCGAGGCCCTCTGACAGGGGGGAGGACAGTGACCAGAGGCTCTGGGAGAACTCGGCACAGCTTTTTGACCCCCAGTTGTTTCCTCAAACTAAATCCAGGCTTTAAAAATTACGCTACATCTGCTTTCAGACAGTTCAAACCCCGCTTTATTTTGTTCCGTTTCGACGGAAAACTTTAATGTTTAGTAGCTTTTAATCCGGCGGAAATCGGCTCTGCATTTGGACCGAGAAAGCTTCGACGATAAATTTAATAAAGAAAAAAGGGGAATTCATAGTGGAAAGATGATGTTTTGGGGGGGAGGGGGAGGGGAAATGAACTGCAAGGAAGTAAATAGAAAAACAGGGAAAGATAAGAGAAAAGAAGAGATTTACATTACTTACATTCTTTGGTGTTGCGAGGTGCGTTCTGACACGAGTGGCAGACCATCCCGTAGACGTTTCTGGGTTTGTTTTCCAGCAAGTAATACCTGGAAGATATAAAATACATGGCTTAGACTAGCAACTTGTTAGACGATACAACTCGGATACACTACACGTGGTTGAGCTGCATCGATGCCGTTGCCACTATCACAATCTTTTACTCTCTCATAAGTAAGGTAGCAACAGAAGTAAAGAACGGATTAAGCCCGTTTTAAAGATCAGGCAAGGATTTTGAAATACAAACACAACGAGTAAGTATTATCGGCAGGTGGGGCAGGTATGCAGCGTATGGGGCCTCCCTGCCTCCCAGACATACTGTACCTACACAGTGCAGAACTATGGGGAAGCAGCTGAGGTGAAAAGTTTGACTCTGCAAAGAAATGTACATAATTGATGGCCTGAAGGCACAAAACATAGCTTGGTACAGTTATGGCCCTGAGTCACGACGCGTCTAGAGAAGGAAAGGAGAGAGGGAGGTAACGAGCAGCCAAGTCTGTGAATGGCTGGTCGACGTATTAAATCATTTAGGCTCCAGGGTATGAACAGAATATCTCAGTAAATACAGATGATTCCTCCAGCCGGCAGGTAATTAAGTGATGCCTTCATATATCTGGAGTAACGTCAAAACAACTTCAATCTCGCAGTTTGGTGGATGGAAATATGAGGAGACATTTGATTTGATGTTTGTCAGGGACTTATGCCGTTAGATATTAGTCACTGTGTTTTAACTACAAGTACAAATGTTGTTCAATCACTCACGAAGATGGGAAAACACAATTTTCATTTATATATATTTAAAGGAATTACCTGCTCAGTACTTGTTGTTCAAGAGAAGATATTTAAATGAATGTATTTGAAAGATGAGCAGTGAAGACCAAACAGTAAATGAACATTACTGAGTTCGAGCAAAACGGGACTCGAATGCAACCAGTCAGTAACCATCAACAACTCCAAAAAATCATTTATTATTTCATCATTACAACAAAGTATGATTCAGCAGGATTTAAATTCCACTTTGCTGAGTCAAAGTAATCGTGTTGCCTTGTCTTATGCCCCCTGCAGACTTCATAACCCTTCATACTCTCTTGCCTTATCTTGAAGAAAAGCCCTGCGACAGAATCCTAGTTTTGAATTAAAATATGCCAAAGCGTTAGTATGAAATTTCAGTCCAGTGACGCCACAAAACTCCCGCCTACCCCAGCTTTAAATTCCTCTGAAATCTTTGTTTACTGACGGCTTAAAAAAACTAATTATTTCAGGGAAAGCAGCAGATGAATGACCCTTAACAACAAACATTTCTCTGTTAAGATACAGGCTTAAGCTGCACTTTACGGCAACTGTTGAGGCCTGTTCCGTTCGGCGTCGAACATGTATGGACTCTGCTAGCTGCAGCGCGCAACACCCACACACCTACAGAGCAGCATATACGGCGCAGATACAGACGAAAACATGACCCAACACTCACTTCGCTAAGAATCACAGTAATCAGAAGCAAAAACATCCTGACGGAGAGCCAAGATAACTAAAGGACAGCAGAGCAGCATCCAGAATAATGATAGGACAAGGAGATTTCAACATTAAACTAATGGATTGGGAGGGTTCCCGAATGTCCCCAAATCGTGAATCTCTCATTTTTATGACGAATCCATCAACGCCTACTTTATAATACAGTATATTGCTAGATTTCCCACATTCAATCAAATATATCAGTTGAAACATGATTAAAGGGGGAAAAAAAACTGAAACAAACAGTTTGGTGTTGACAGTAAGTCAACGTCTCCAGTGGAACGAGAGGAGAGGGACTGATTGACGATGCAAAGGACAAGAGAGAGAGACGGGGGAGGGAGGAAAGGAAGGTCTGGGAACATTTAAATGTTCCTTATTGGTTTAATGTGTCGATGTGACAGGGGCTGCATAGACAGCTGCCAAATGCAAATGGAGGAAGAGTGCAGGATTTAGTGGGTACGCACACAAAGTGAAAGGATGTATTAAATTAAAGGGAGCAGGGCAAAGTACTAACAACTCAGGGCACATTCAGGAAAGTGGATGCATGCATGTGCAAGTCAGATTAAAAATGTACAGCTCTGCATGTGGAGAAACAGATTCAGTATAATGTAAATGTATGCACACAGATGAACTGCATCACACGCCACTGTTTTGTTTAAAAAAAATACAATTTCCGAATGTGAATTGAGGCACATCCCAGAGGAAACGTATCACTAGACGGGGTGTATATGCATGTGATTGAGGATCACCGATCTGAACGTCTGGTTCAGCCGGCAAAACGTGCATCAGGCCAAGTAAAATAAACACGTCTCATGTATCCACTTTGATCAGAATGAAGTGCTCCAGTCACAGAGGCGTTTCACTTTCCATTCAAAATAACAGCTTAGGCCCTATACGGGTTTTTTTGACAGGCAAAAATCTGTGAATTTGAAAATGTTTATCCTTCCAGAGAATCCAAACGCCGTCTCTGCACGCTCAGCCGCTTCTATTTTAGTCGCATGCACTATTTGATCTTTTGTTACTCAATCGCTTTCTACCGCTGTTGATGTATTCCTGAGGGGATGATTCCAAGAGATTCTGAATCAAGTCAGGTGCCGTAACTTCTCCAGAATTTTCTGGTGTCGGTGTGCGTGTCGCAACACATCTCGCTGTGAAGCGTATAATCATGGACACTTTATGTGGTTATTTTAGTTAATACTCATGCTCATCACTTAATGTCATGTAACAAAAGGTAATGTCAGGGTGCTTCTAAAGGGACTCTGACCATTATTAGAGCTGCAGGAAAGTTTTCTTTATGAGCGGGTCCAGTTTTTGTTTGTTCTTTGCGACAGCCCATGCATGTGATTCGACGCACATACATGCCAGCAGGTTCACAGCATTTCAGGTATCTACAGGTGGCAGTAATGCGCCAAGAAACACAGCAATGCAGCAGGAAAAGGAAGAAAAGAGAAATAGAAAGTGAACATAGATGTAAACAAATACCGTTTTGAATACACACAATTCATGTTGTAATGTAAAACTTACTTAACTACCCCCCAAAACTCATCTCTATGTATTAAAATGACATATTTTCTATTAAAATAATCACTAATCAGGTTAGATATAACTCTACATTGCATGCTTGGACCTATGACATCTATTTTCTACTATTTGCTGCAGCTTAAGCACACCAGCTCACCTTCAATTCTGCTCAAACGCTGTAAAACTACTCCACACAATAGCAAGTTGTAATACTGGAGTAATTCCCCCATAAGTGTTTGAGCCAGAAAGTGATTCTGAACAAGAATAATGATACAGAAAGCTGCAAGTCGGCAGGATTGGTTCCTCGGGTTTGTTGAATATTCATGTTTTTGTCATCACGACAGTTTTAAGGTGTAAATACTGAGTCTTAGTGTCAGCTGCTTATTTTGCTAATGATGTGTCTTTTAGCGTATAAAAAAAACACACCACAAGGGCAAAAATAACAACTTGATTTTCACTTGACAGGGTCTTCAAGGCTTCTTGTTTTGCCCGTCTTTCATGTGATGCATTTTGCCCCAAACCTGTGTTCTACTTACACAGCAGGCGCACTAGAACAGAGTTTGCATGTCAAGTGTGCACGTTTTTGAAAGGCGCATGTTGCAGCAAAATTTCCTTTTGACCTGAATTAAGTGAATTTATCTTGTAACAAGCACAAACCTTGGCCTCACTGTTATCATAGCATATGATGATAGTAAAGTTGAAGCTGCTATAAGTCTGCATTGTCTTTCTGAACACGAGCTCTGTTTCCGCTACAGCTCCTCCAGATTTCCACAACGACGCACAGCCGCTCAATGCATATATTTTTAAGGAGACACACAACACAAGTCGACATATGAACAGAGGCTGATTGTGTATTGCGCTAGACTTGGATCTTACAGTTTTCCAAATATTTATGATCTGAACCCGATCATCAATGAACTGTAAATCACTAAAGGCTGCAATTAAAGCATTCCTTGATTTGCCAAGACATCCATGTGTGCATTTGGCTGCACTCACCTCATTATTACATCCATACCACCGCCCTCTTCATCTCTACCTGCTCAGTTTTTTATGAGTTGCATATTTTTGCACTCCTTTTTGCTTCCTGTGAATGAACGTGTTTATTGTCTCCTGATGTGCTAATATTTAGTTACAAGGTAAGGGTTGTATCATAATTCACTGAGTAATATTTTGAGTAACGGTTGCAGTTTTTCTTTTGGAGATCTCATTAAAATCCCATTTCTGAACGCCAAGTGCAAGCTGCCCTTCACTTCCAGGGTGCAGCACCTAGAGGGCAGCACCAGGCTCAGTCCAGGAGCTGACTGCATAATGATCTGCTTAACTACTTCACACAGTTTGTGTGTACACAACGCACAATGACAACCGCAATGCACTTTTTTTTCCCACATTGCCATTTTCCTAGTGGCTCTAAATGTAAAGAGAAGATTTTTGAGGGCTCACTGAACCGTAAAGCGGCTTCAGTGCCCACGTCTTTGTGTGGTCACTTTCTAAATTAAAGTTTAGAAAAATAAAACAGTATGTGTGCATGTTGGTGTGCTTTACCCCGGTAAACAGGGTCCACACTCTGCGTCGCTGTCCGGAGTTCCCGGTACGCGGACGGTGGCTTTGTAGAGGGCATCGCAGTCTTTATGGCGTCTGCAGATCTCATACTTTCCTTTGGAGTATTTCCCCTGCGGGCACGGCACGCAGGCAAAGTCCTCATCCTTCACACCGTAGCCACAGGTCTGCAAAACACGCACATAAATTCATGAAGCCACATCCGTACTTTCAGCGCCATGATGAATTGTAATTAATACGTCTGACATAACGTAGCATTAGATGAGCTTTCCAGATGATGGAGATGATTCACAACTGTGGTGTGGACACACACATTCAAAAACACACATCTGTTTCTATCAATGTCCTTCACCAGTGTGGTATTAGTCTTATGAAATGACAAAAGAATAATCTGATTGGTCACAGAGATCCCTGTGAGTGTGTGTGCGTGTACAGCTCTCAATGCCTGGTAGTGTTTAGGATGACCTACTCATCATTCTGTTTTCTTGCATCCATCTCCTCCCAGTTCTACATGGGTAATTCCTCTCAGCAGGGAGGCTGAACAGGCCACACACACTCACACACACAGATACAAAAACATACTCTTTCTCTCTCTTTTTTTTTTTTTGCTCCTTCTTTCATCTTTCATATCCCTCTTCCTTTCATCTGTCTATTAAAACAAGCCTGTGCCTCGTAGCTGTGGGCTACAGAAGGCCCACTCCTAAAGAAATCTAATATTCTTTCGCTTGTGTTTGACGTCCATAAGTCTCAGTGTGATTGTTTGATATAAAACTGCGCTGAGCTATCGGCAGGATCTTGTCGCTTTGGGTTAAAGCTCACTTTGGATCTTTTGTGCTGCGGCTCTGCTTCTGTTCATTTACTCAAATTTACTCCGGAGTGACTGAAGGCTTCTTCGCTTTCAAAGCAAATTTGTCGCCTTTTTGAATCGTGTTCAGTGTATATGTGGGAAAGAAGGAGGAGGGTAAAATTTAAAACTGAAAAAAAAAAAAAGCAGGGACCATTCTAGCATTGTTGCCTTTATTTTAAACTTGACAGCGAAGAGGCGTAGGGAGAGCGGGAAGATGATGACGTGCAACAAAGGCTCCGAGCAGGATCAAACCAAGGAAGCTGCGGTTCATGTTATGCATCTCAAACCACTATATCTCAAGGGAACAAAATCTTAATGCCGAGCAGCTCCAACACACGACGCGGGCCAACTCGAAACATCAATACCCAGTTCTTTAATGCGTCCTCACCTCACCAGCACTTTCATCGCTCAATAAAAGTTGGGAAATCGGAAATGTATGTCTGACTGGAGTGTTTACATTCGTGTAAACTAGCACGGAAATCTGGATTCAAGATGTACATTAAATAGGGGTCGCGGATGCCTTGGTCGTCGTGTGATGTGCTGTACGCTGTCTGTGTGAGTGTGTGTGTGGGCACGTACTTTCTGAAGTCTCTGTTGTGAGGAGGAACCCTATGGTTATCCCAAGATTAGAAGCGTGCCAAAACACACACACATGAGAAAGCTCAGGGAAATAGAGGAACGCATGAATTACAGGTTGCGGCACCCAGAGGATCAGAGCGGCGGGAGAAAGTGCAAAAGGGGGCTCTCATCTCACCGATTAAACTCCTTTTTTTTTTAGTTTCGATTGCTAACAACTGGCTAAATTACTCTTTATGACAGATCTGCGTTCTTATCAGACCGAGCTTCTCCGATATTGAAAGACATGCAAATCATTTGATTGTACAGGTCCGAACTCATCGCATTGTTGGGGATGCTTACTAGAAGTATAGAGCAGCTTAAGGAGAGACAAGGCAGGAAGGAGGGGGGGAAAGTAGGACAGGAAGGAAAAAAACAAACAGTGGGAATATTTGGCATCGCATGTAGACGTAAAGGAGACAAGGGAATAAGAAAGGAAGGAAGAAAAGAACTACGGCTTTGGAGCGTTCCAATGCAAACATCCATCCATCCACTTTATCCTTTCGAGGGCTGACACAAAGGAACAGACGACCACGTACACCTCCAGCCAATTTAGAATCATCAATTAATATGTTTGGACTGTAGGAGGAAGCACTCAGTGAAAACCCACAACATGCAACCTCAGGGACAACAGAAAGGCCTCCCATAAGATTCAAAGATGTGAAGTGCTAACCAATGTGCTGCCTGCAACTACATTTTTGTCCACTTTGAGTCAACGAAACAAGCTGTAAACATTAAAATCGACAAACTTTATTCAAAGCCACGTTTAAGCCAATTGTTTCAACTCCTCAGAAAAGCCTTCTCTTTCATGACTGGATGCCTCACTAGCTCCGCCCAGTAGTTTGTCTAACTTTGTCCGCCGGATGTTTAGCGCTGAGCGGGGAGTGTAGAGCGGCTTCTCCCTAACAGCTGCCTGCTGCGCCTGAGATCTGAGCTGTGGGAGCAGTCAGAGTGACTACTGCAGCGCCCCAGAGAGCTAAGGGGAGCTGCGGAGTTGGGCGGTTTGTGGGTTCATCATGTCATGCACAATTTGTGTCTGAGCTTATGTCGCTGGTTTGAGGTGGACGGCGCTCAGCTGGAAGAAACTGATATCACATGCTTCATGCACCAATCAAAGTCTGAATGTGAACACAGCGAGTCGTTTGTTCGCTGTAAATCAAATCAGATCGAACCACGCACACACAGACCTGACGAAACTTAATGTTGAAGTCTTTATAAATATCACCTGGAAGGCATTTGTTCTTCTTATTTAGTCCTGATTATGGTGTTAAAAATACACACTTAAAACAAAGTATTCAAGGGTTTTAATGAAGTGTGAGATCAAACATTGTCCTCTGTTTTGCTCAACCTACTAAAAAGGCTCCTCTGAAATTTCCGTGACTCCTCTTTTTGTCATGCACGTTTTGTCAAATGTAAAAAGTCCCTTTCAGACAAGCACCTTTTCCATTAATCTGACAACATCTGAACACGTCAGTTTCATGTCTGAATGAGCACCACTTTCCTGAAACAGCTGCAGCGGCGTCTTATTAGATTAAACCTCGATCACTTTAAACACAGCACAAGCCTGAAAAGAGCTTCACAGTGTAAATTTATTGCTCATGTTTGAGCTTTTCAAGTTATTCCCCGTTCAAAATTGAGCTTTAAAAACCCTCAACTCCAGCTAAGTGGTTGGATAAGTTGAAAATGTTTGTGCAGGTCGATCAGCTCTAGTTTGTCTGAAGACCCTCAAAAATCTGCAATAAACTGCATCATACTTGATATAAAAAGCAATATAAAACAATATCAAAAGTTTGCAGCACCCAAATAAATTACCGTGACTATCTTTCACTCTATTCACCCTTGAGTGCAGCTGTCTCTCTTAAGAGGGCGTGGCACCCCGGGGTGCCCACTGGAGCATTTACCTGCGCTCTGTTTGCTTTGGCTGTCGGCAGACTGACTGACGGAGGCTAAATCACTCTGTGACTACTGCAAGTTATTCACTGTAATGCATGCCTTCACATCGAAGTCAATGAGAGCAATAAACCAGAAAGAAATTGTTCATTTGAATTTGGGCACCCTTCACCGTGCAGCTATGTGTGCTCTCTGTGGGTTTGCGTGTGAGCGTATTGTGGGTGGTCTGAGCGAAGCTGGCATGTAGGTTTATAATGTCAGATCTTCGTGCTATTTGTCAGTTTTTAAACATTGCAATGTGATATAGAATCTCTGCATTCATCCTGCTTCCTTCCGCCCGTTCACCGCAACAACCTACTTTAAAATGTACACGATAAACTATTTAACTATTGCAATAAACAGAATAATGACCTAAACGAATGGCTATCACGTGTGCGTGCACGCTCACCATATGCGGCTCTTGTCCCGGCTGGCACTGAGGGCAGGCCTGGCAGCTGTTACTGGTCTGGTTGAAGAACTCATACTCTCCACAGCTGGAATATTCTGCACTAGCAAACATACAGCACACCTGGATTGACAGGGAGAGAGAGACAGACAGGAGTGAGGGTCAGACAAAACTAAAAAACAGCACTAATAACTTGTGAAAACCAAAACGCCAGTCACACTGATGCAATCGCATTCATACAGCGCTGCTGACAGATAACTGCTGAAAGGCACTTCCACAGGGATTTGTGATCAGATCCGGATGAGCACCTAATCTAACCTGCTATGATTAAACAACATTATTAAAATAAAAACACATATCAAAACAAATAAATAATAAAATTGGTCGGATCAACAGAAATGCAGAACGTGCACTGGATTAATCCGCTAAATCACAAAACCTTCTAGGAGGTTGGAAAGGCATGCTGTCTGAAAAAAAACAACAAAATCACTTCATAAAATCATTTATCAGAACCAAAAACAAAAAGAATCAACAGATTTTTAGTTACCCAGTGGTCCCTGATTTAAGGATTCAAGGAGCTTTATTATCATGCCAGCTCACATTTACATGTTTGTGGTATGAAATTGGTACGCAGGTCCAAAGCCTAATAAATAATAAGTACAATGTAAAACAGCAGCAACATATAAGTAAAAATACAAGCAAGTAAGTGTACTATAATAAAAATGTAATCTAATTGTAATGAAATCTGAGCTTCAAGTCATGTCTCAATTAAACATTTGCTAAACATAAACCCTTTGCTCTAACCACCCTTGTTATTTTATTTTTTATTTTTTAATTCTGTGCTCCCTGGTATAACCTTGAAGCCAGTCATGTGACAAAAATTTAGGGAGTTTTCGGCTGAACTGCAGGCTGTGTTTACGCATATGAATTATGGCGTCATAACTCTGACATACTGCACAGAAGCCACGTCTGAGCTCCCTCTACTTCCAGTCATAGCCGTGCTGTTTCCACAGAGGTGCAGGACTTTATATCACAGTGAAAAACGAGCCCACTGAGAGTGAAAATATAAGAGGAGCAACAAAACACCCAGCGATGAATATCAGGGATCCAGACTGTACTCTCTGCTCTCCCTGCAAGGACACGCTGAGATAATTCTGCTCCTGCTTTGGTCGTTATCAGCCCGTTAAACGCCTGTTATCAGCTGTTATCGCGTCTATAGAAATCCGCAGCAGGTGACCTCCTCCACCTTCAAGGAAGCCAGTAGCATGTTATCACCTCGTTTAATGGTGGCGGTGCCATGTGGTTTCACTTCCAAAGAGCAACAGAGCTCCATGGAGGCGGGATGGACTTATCCCAGCGCAGGAACTAGAGAGATGAGAGACTACAGCAGCGTCTCTGGACTAGAGTCCCAGTTCCATCAGGGATCATTAAATATGTATTGTTTTTAGCAGTAGTAGTAGCAGTAGTAGCAGTAGTAGTTTATTTCATTCATTGACAAAACAAAAAGATAAAACAAACCCAATTCAATAGTTTCCAACTTCTGAATATAAAAGAGAGCAGAAAGAAGAATAAACGTATGTAATCTGCCCCTTTATAATAAATAATCAGCTACAATTAGCATTAAAAACAAACAACTTGAATCTTGTTTGTTTTTTTACTTGCATTTTCAGTCACTGTTTAAGTTTAGGCAGCAAAACTACTTGGTACATAATTTACATAATTTGTGTGTTATATTTATTTGTATTAATTTATTCTTGGTTTTATAATAATAATTAATTTGGTATTTATCAATTCTACATCATGATGCTAAAGCAACCACACATACATAAAAATAAATCATTTAAACACACTTTTTTTAACATATGAAACTATTATGATTCTGTATTTTTACATCTCTATAGATGTCTTTATTTAAAAGCTTTTGAAAACATTCCTTTCTTTATCAAAGATCCGTACTATACTTAACCTTTATTTGAACCAGGATCTCTCAGCAGAATAATTAGTCTCATGATTATTTTGTCTGATTTACAGACAAATAGTACAGAACTAAATAATTAATTTGACTTTCTTTGTAGAAAATATAGTTCAGATATCATCAAACCTTTTAATTGATTTTTTTTGTTGTTGTTATTAGACAAACCTTATAATTAACATTGATCTGTCTGTGTAGAACATTGGATCTGGAGAATCAGTTGTTATTAAAGCAAGGTGTTTCACTTGGATAAACAGGATGATCCTGATCCGTCCTACAATAAAAACACTAAAGCATGTCATCAAAGAAGCTGCGCTGCGTCGAGCATGCAGTTGGACTGATGATTGAGGATTAGTTTGCTGGTCTGTCAGTCATATTTCAATCTGTGTTTCCTTTATAATTAAGAAAAAATGCACCATTGTGTACATTTGTTTGTTGCTGTTGAAGCGATTTGGGAATGACGCTTGATTTATTCCGTACAAGCAGCTGGCTTTGGGAAGATCGCTGTTAGCTGTGTGCACGTTACACCAGAGTTTGCACAACGCCAGCAATTGCCTATTTGTGTGTGTGTGTGATTGTGCCTGTGTTACTCATGTTGTAGGGACACAGTGTGTTGTTTGGACTTGTTTGCTCTTTTAGGGATCAAATCAATAAATCTTAAGGTGAAGATCTGGTTTAAGAGGACAGTTATGAGAAGGTGATGGTCATGTTTAGGAAGTTCATGTAAGTCATTGTAATGTCCTCTGAAGTGATGGAAGCGTGTGTGTGTGTGTGTGAGATGCAGCGTTGTGTCATTGTGGCTCACTGTAATAGGCAGCAGCTGGTATTTATAGCTTTACCAGCACACATTGTCCTTTTCCAAACAAACTAACTGACTTTATAAAATCATCTGCAGTCCAGAAAATGATGGAGAGAAAGTAAATGAGTGCATGACTAAGTCTCTCCATCTTCTTTCTATTGTTTTAATAACATCTTCCTCCCTCTCTCTTTCTCTCTCTTCGTCCTCACAACCACCTCATGTGAGCAGACAACAAGGCACTGTTTGTATAAATAGACATTTACACTGCTAGTGTGTGTGTGTGTCTATATACAGTGTGTGTGTGTGTGTGTGTGTGAGTGTATCCGTCCACTCATCTCAGGCCAGATAATCTGTGTCTAATTTAACCCAGATCCAAACCAGAGTGACCCGTAGCTCACACACCTGAAGCCCAGTTAGTGCAAATACAGGTCAGCAGTGATTTAATGCACTCTTCACAGCTCGGGGGCCAAATCTGAACTTTCAGTTTTCATTTTGTAATGAAGAGTTACCAAAAAAATGACCTGATGAAAAAAGAAAACATTTTTTCTCAGTAGTTGATGAGTTCTAATCTCTATTAAGATGGGTTTCTCATTTAAATGAAGCCACTTAGAGGTCAAAATCAAAGCGGTAAAGGTTGAGATATCCTGACTAGCATGTTTCAGACTTCGCTCTGTCTCATCCTAAACCTAACCAAGTCATTTTGTAGTGCAAACAAAAGTAAACAGTGACTGAAAATGACTGACAAGTGCCAAAAAAACAGCGACTGAAAATAAAAAATAAACCGCAACACAAAACCGTGACTAAAAATGAAAATAAACACAACAAAGTGTAAAAATGTTATGAAAACAGGATTCATTCCACATGTTACAGCCTCCTGGTAAACGGCCAAGCTGGTATAATAAAGCTGCATGTGAATAACAGGCCAAGTCACGTCTCGTGTTATCAGAACGCATGTTTTGCTTTTTGCGTTAGCACGCCGGTATTTCATGACGAATGAGCTCCTCCTCCTGCACTCAACCCTGTATGTTTAACACAAAAAGGCTGAAAATGCATTGAGTCTGTACCACCGTCCCCCCTTTAATTTCCTAACATGGACTTTGTTGCTGTTTTTATGTGTAAACCTGAAGAAACTTTGCATGATGTGGCTTCAGGCCAGTAGAAAAGAACAGGCCAAAAAACAGAGACGTCTCACAGCTTTGCAACCTTCACTGTGACAGTAATCAGATTTGCACTGTAGTGTCACTGTGACACATTTCGGTCTGACACTTGAATTACACTTGCTTTAAGCTCCACTTTCATCTTTTCTTTCGACGCCTCCTGCTTCGTAAGTGACAACTTTCCAATTCTGCATCTCCAGTTTGTAATATAGACATTGTGTTAGTTTATCAGATTTTGGAAAGCTCCTTCAGAGGCACAGAACAATTGTTCACAGACGGAGCGTTGCTCCTTATGAGGAGTAAACCAAATCTCATGAGTGAAACTGGCGGCGTGCCCCTTTAACATCTCCAGCTACTTAGTTTGTAACTAACAACAGAAGCATCCTATCTCTTTAAATCTCCATTTAAATTCTGGAGTCAGCGGAGACCGAGTGAAAGCAATCAAGCTGTGCGACACATCCGCTGCTATTTTTCATCGTTGGCAAGTCAACACATTTAAGGGTCACTTTAGGTATTTAGCAAGTAATTACTTGCAACCAGTGTTTACACATTGCTTATACAGTGTGCACTTTGTTTGTCTGTCATAATTATCTTCTCCTTTATATTTTTCCACAAGTGGAAAAACACACCATGCCAGTTGCACACAGCCAGCTATGTCACAATGCTTTGGAAAGATATTTGCTCAGGCACCACCATCTGCAAGTCCTGCATCCTGTGGGTCCTACTGTTGTAAGTTCAGTTTATACTAGTATTTAGAAGGAATACACAGGAAGTGTAAACAGAGAAAAAATCCCTTTGGAGTGCCCTGTCTCCTTTGTATTATAAAATAATTTCAAAAGAGTAAAATAATGGACTGTCAGTAATTTGTCATTGTTCTACGGTCTGAACCTGGAGTGTATATAAGTGGCTTTAAAATGTGTTTACTTCTGAGGTCACTGAATGGCAATTTAATCCAAATACCCCTAAGTGCTCCAGTGGTAGCCTGCAAGAAGAGAAGAAAGCGGCAGAGGAAGGGAGGGTAATGCGGAGGGGGCCTGTCGGGAAAAGTGCCAGTGGGTTTCAACATCAAAACAAGCAGAGAATCTCTAGATTCCAGGTCAGATTATGAAGGTATCTGCTCTCTGAAACACTCGAAGGTTGACTAATTGGTACAAGTGCTGCAGAGTTGTGCAAGCTGCTGGCACACAACACCACAAAGTCTGGAGGACGCAGTGCCAAGAGTGGAGTTGATTGTGGCTGCGATTCATAAAAGCTGGACTAATGAGGCTTTCTGAGGGGTCGACATTAGAAATATGGTGATGATTTTGGAAAAAGACGGGGGCAGCGTGAAAGTTAAGAAGTGGGAGGGTGCAGAAAAAAAACAGGGAGGTTGAGCAGAAAGTTTAAAGGCAGTAAGGTCAAAAGAACTGTAAACGAGGACGGCTGGAAAGCTCACCAATAATGAGGACAGGAAGACGGACTTCTTCTGACCTCTCCTCTCTGACATTTTTGCGTCTTGTTCCTACGGGAGGCGAGAGAGAGACAAACGGAAACAGTCATTAATCACTATATTCATACAAACATTTCCAGTATTCAAGCTTCTGCACAAAACTTCAATTATAAAACAGCAAAGTCATGAATCTCAGCATTCCTGCCAACAGTAGTGCTGTCAGTGTGTGTGTGTGTGTGTGGCCTCAATGAGTTCAGTGTCCTGTTAGCATCACGTCATTGCCCATAAACATGTAATAGCAGCAGAAGAGCGAATGGCATTCTTCTGACTCACGACTACAGACACACATCTCCACCGGCTTCCTCTGCTTCCACAAACGACGTCGATATCACTTAAAAACATTTAATTATACGTCTCTTTCTTGGTTATGACTCTATTGCATTAGGGTGAAAAAAAAAATTTACAACCCCAAGCTTAGCTGGAACGCCAGTAAAAACAGCTTTCAGGCACAATTTGACACCTGTGGATGCTGCTGAAGTGCTAATATTTTATGTTTATTTGGTTTTACATAAGGGTGTAACCTACATATATATCAGTATATAATAAATTATATCAATATTTCTACTTCAGTTTATAGTAGGTTGCTGTTACTGATTTATTAAATGTCTGACTTTATTAAACCCCCAGAGGGAAATTCAATTGTTACAGCAGCATGAATATTCAACAAAGGGGGTAAACGAAAGCAAAAAGACAACACAAAGTATTAGGATAGGGTATAAAATGAAGGTAGAACAAAGTAAAAGTCTGCATCACAGTGGCTGTGATTCTCACGTTGATGCTAGGTGAAGCATAATTAAACCATCGTGTGTTTGTTTTAGCAACCGAGCTCAAAATTCTTTGTTCCCCTGCCGAAAACCGTCTTCACAACTCTGGCAGGGAGACCAGCAGGTTGTAAAAGCTGAGAAGTCACTAAATAAGAGATGATTTTATTTGCGATGGGATGGGTGTGTTTGGGTGCACTCTTAATGCTGTTGATAGCAACACGTCATAAAACGAGGTGCGTATTTCTCTCAGTGTGCCATAAATGAAAATGCTCTGTGGCGATGTGTGAGCGCACGTTTGTTTCTTCGCACAAGTGTCTGCAAGAGCACGCCTGCGATTTTCTGTATGTTTGTCCTGCATCGGTCTACAATGCTGCATTTTGTGTGTGTGTGTGTGTGTGTGTGTGGTCCCTGACAGTGCAGCAGTGTGGCTGTAAGAGCATGTGATTAATGCCGCTTCTGTCAGCTCCCTGAAACACGGAGGCCTCTTCCACAAATACGGCGGATATTTAATTACTCTTTTCATTTATGTTTTGCGTCTAATCTACACGTAATTACATGGTCACATTCAATACTTTGAACTAACAAACAATACTCTATCAGTATCAATAAGGCCCGGGAAATCAAACGCAGAACCCGCTGATTAATTCACCAGACGGGACTAATTAATCTTCTGGCCATTAAGATAACACAGAAAACTACAAGTCAATGTTCCGGGCAATTTTGGTAATGATGAATAGGGGGCATGGACATGAGACGTGAAGAGCAACAGCTTTTAAAAAAAATTACAAAAATGTAATTAGAAAGTGTTTATTTCAATCCACTTTTCCCATCTTCACAGCTAAACGATGTCTGGATCGGTGACAAACGCAGACCTATACACTTGCAGCAGCAGATTTTAAGTATTCCCCACGCTCACACTCGCACACACGCTGCAGACGTACACAAATATACCTGTAATTACTGTTATGGAGTCGACTTCTGGTGCAGTTTGTCTGACGGTTAATTGCTACATATGCCATGAAAGAAACACAAGACACAATCGGCTCTGTGTATGCAGATATTATAGCCATTGAAAGTGTGTGTGTGTGTGTGTGTGTGTGTGTTTATAGAGGGCCCTGAGACACCCTAAACCCTGCACATAACTCACCCGCATCACATCCACTCGCTTGCAATCTCGAAGCGACTGTAAGAGCCGATTATGCTGCTACAGCGAGTGCACCGTGGGGCGTCCGCACTACCTGACCACTTTCACTGATTTCTAATTTAAGTGCATTTGTGGCTAAAAACAGTCAATCATTTTATATGAAGATGTTTTGAATCCAATGACTTTTTCCTCCAACAGTAGACAATAGAATAAAATGATGCTTCTCTTAAGGGAATCTAAAAATCCCTGATCCTGTTTTGAATCCTGAGTATTGCATTAGTCATTGGAGACATGATACAGAATAGTGTGTGGCCTCATTAAAATCACTCATTAAAATCAATTCACATTGTTCCATGATACCCTTTTAAGTGTGGATCAGATTAACTGGTATGTCATCAAGATGCATTCACCAAAATTAACAACAGTACTGTCTGTAACAACAGACAGCGCTGGTTTTCATCATCCATGAAGGCAATCACTCCCTAATCTTTACCAAGTAGTTTTAGTCGCCTGAATCAGAAAACCAGAAAACACATGTGCTGACACAGTCGTATAAAAGCACGTTATTGTTTTGACGGATGTGCCCTCGGGTCAAATCAGTTCCCTTTTAGCATGTTGACTTCAAATCCGCCAGAAGTTGTCAAGACTATCAAAGTGTGTTTGTGTGCGCGAGTGTGTGTGTGAGACAAAAAGGAAGAAGCCGCAATTATCTGCTATCTGAGGTCAGAATCTATCTGTCTGGCTCCAACCTCTGATTTCACTCTTCCATGTCGCGCACTTGAGCAAAAAAACAAAAAAAAAAAGAAAAACCTTCTGATCTTCAATGATGGCTAATTCTCCGAGCCCAAGGGTTTGATCTCGCTTAATTACAGCCTCCGCACACAAACACACGCTCACATACACATTAACACATACATGTATAGTTTTATAGAGAGTTCGCTTCTGAGGGCAAAATAGGCTTAATTGCGCGAGTCCCTGTGGTAAGACCACAACCGGTATGTGTGTGTGTGTGTGTGCGCATGTATGTGTTTTTGTGTCACTGCTGAGGAGATAAAAGGGCAGATACTGCGTCTTTTTTTTTTTCCTTCTTTTTTTTTTTTTCAAATCAGGAAATGAAGAACTGCCAAATGGCTATGGACCCCCTCAAGGCTACTCATTATGGGGTTAAAGTGATGCACACACAAACCCTGCGCACACATACACCAGCACGGCTGCGTTTGAAGACTCTTGGTGTCTTCTGACAGTCTGCTTTACCTCTTTCAACCCTCCCTCTGTCTTTCTAACCTCAGCTCTCTCTCTGTCGGGGCAGGTCTGAGATGAAAGTCAGCCCAAGCCTTTTTGCCCCCCAAGGGTATTAATCCTCTAACGATCACATAATCTCTGATAAATAACCCTTCTGTCTTTAGCCGTGTCATTACCAAGCGGAGTGCATTCAGTTCACCGGCAGAACCCAGCGACTGTACTGGGTAGCCTCCCAGTACACGTTTACATCACATTCAGCTTCCTGGATAGCAAAAGATTTTCAGAGGCCTTTCTTTTATTTTGCAACATCCTCTGGACTGAATGAGTTGCGGACGTTTTTCGCAGCCTCCCTCCCTCCATTAGCTCCGTCTTCTGGTTTTCATTTGGGTTGCGTTTGATTGCCCTTTGTGTCAGCGGAAGAAATCCCATATGAAATGCCGCATAGCGATGGGAAGACAATTTACTCTGCTTCATTACAAAAATGCACAATAACAAACCCTTTGACCTCAGGAATTCACACAATACAAATCAACACGACCAGAAGAAGACGTCGTCCGTCAGTGCTCTCTGGCCTACAGTGACAAGCATAATGCCTTAATATCGTTGAGGATCCGGAGCACAACTTCAAAGCGGATTTAAATCTGCATTGAAATGGACTGTACCAAAATCTGACAGCCAAATATGACAGAGTTTGCTAAAAGTCATAATGGGGATGTTCAGACCCTGTAGGTGAAAGGAGGGGCTGGCCTATGGAAATTCCCATAGATCAGCTCATACAAACACATTCTAGGTAGACAGCCACTGCCTTCCTCCTGGTAGTTCTCGACTCTCGCCCTCCTTTTTGGGCAGCCGGGGCAGGCTTCCTCACATAGCTGCCTGTCAATCTTTTGTTATTCATAATTGCCTATTTTTTGTGGTCATGCTTCAGATTTACAAGCACAGTGTTTCTACAAAGATGGCAAAAACTGCCGCTCATCAGTCGGCAGGGTCTTGGCTGACTAAGGACATTTTATAGGATTTTTTTTGGTTTGTTTTTTTACTCTTATGGGAAACGGGTAATTCATCATGGGTCACTGGTGGAAAATAATAGTCACATCACTGGAATGACAATCACGCTGACAAATCAGCATGAATCCTAAGTTGGAAGTAGAATTTTACAGCAGGAGCCGTGTGGTGGGCCGACCAAAACGGGAAAGTTTCCACTGCATGTAATGTCTTCACCATCGCTAACTCTGCCATCAGCCTCAGGAGGGCTGCAGGCAGACATGTAACACGAGGATGAACAGGGTGTCACCAGCCATCTCGCTCACATGATCGCGATGAGCTTCACTGACAATTCACAATATCCGTCTGCCCTTCAGGTGAAGCCCAAAGCCAACCGGCAGCAACTACTGCAGTGACAAGTTCATTGTATGCACATGCACAACTACAGGGCCACCTACTGGGAGATCAGACCAACAACCTTTGTAGATGTTGTATCTCCAACCAGCTTCAAATTAAACTTATTGCGTGTACAGGACATACTGTGCAAATGAATCCCAGGATTATAGATTTTTAGAAATGATCTAATATCATCAGGGAGTCATTGGATTGGCCCCAAACATACAGAGTCATAAAAAACTGCAGTTTCATCAGCAACAAGAGGAGAAAGGAGGTGAATATTTTGGATTGAGTTGAAGAAAAGTCAGAAAAATTTACCAAAGAGAGACAATGAGATGCGAGAACTGTGGCACGTGACTGTCAAGTAGCTTAAAAACATGTTTAAGTGTAACTAGGAGGGCTGGTGCTGCTTCAAAGGTTGCTCCAAACACCAAACACTGGTCTGATGTAGGGTGTTTTTTTGTCTTTACTCCACTTTGTAT